GCTTTCGATTCGAACTCAGATCGCTGAATCCTACGCGAATGATTCCTTCTATTCAGGAATCATCAACTATCTCAGGGACCCGAGCGAAAAATTACTCGCGAAGTTGACGAAACCAACACGCGACAACATCAAGTGTTACGCGCTTGACGGTCCGTTGCTGACGTACACGATGGACGTCTTTGATTCCCCGCGTGTCGTCATCCCTGCTGATGACGACCTTCGAGCCCGATTGGTTCATGAATTTCACGACAGCCCAGCTGGCGGACACCTGGGTCGCGAGAAGACGTTTGCGGCTATTTCTCGCGTATTTTCCGGCCGCGGATGTATAAGTACATCCAGAAATGGGTGCGCTCCTGTGAAACCTGTCAGCGTGTGAAGCCTGCGCCGTCTTCACAAGCCCCATTGCGCCCGCTTCCGATTGCTACGGAAGCCTGGCGCTCGGTCAGCATGGATTTTATCTTTGGCCTTCCACCGGATGAACAGAAACGCACGGGCGTATTGGTTCTAGTGGATCGATTCAGCAAAATGGTGCATTTTGCTCCGGTCTCCGCCAACATTACGGCGGAGACGACAGCGAAGATCTTCATTGATCTTATCTTTAGGCATCACGGCTTGCCAGAATCTATTGTTTCGGACCGTGACCCGCGTTTTACTTCGGCTTTCTGGGCCGAATTATTCCAGCTATTAGGAACGCGGTTGCTTATGTCTACGGCGGCCCATCCAGAGACGGATGGGCAAACGGAGCGTGTGAACAGAGTGCTCGAAGATGTTTTGCGCATCATGGGGTTCATTTCTTCCACTTGCAGAGTTTGCAATCAACAATGCTGTTTACGCGTCAACCGGGTTGACGACCTTTTTCGTTAACAACGCGAGGCATCCTCGCGTTCCGGCGCTGCTTGCTCTCTCAGCTTCAGAACACCCTGTCTCCAAGATTGATGGGGTAGTATCTACGGATGGAATTGCGCCGGAACTATTGATGATTGATTACGATGCGCATAAGGTTGCTGCCGATGCACCTAATACTGGTAATCTTTTGGCCAACGGCATATCGACTCTGACGCGATGCATTCCATCGCGTCTCCCGTTGCTAATTTTGCCCCAAAAGAGAATACGTCGTCTGTAAGTTCGGCTGCAGTAACCGAATTTTTCCTATTACGACAAGGAATCACGCGTTTTGTGAGTGATGCATTACAAGAGGCAGTCGACAAGCAAAAGGAGAATGCAGACAGAAGAGGTCGAAAGAATATGTTGATATTTCGAGAAGGTGACAGAGTATTGTTATCAACAAGTGGATTACCGAACACCTCAGTGACGAATTTGGGCGCTAATAAGTTAGCGCCAAGATATATTGGCCCATTTCGGGTTGTTAAGGTGCATGGAGACGCTTACACGCTAGACATACCTACATCTATGCGTTTGCACCCGACGTTCTACGTCGGGCGCCTCAAAGCTTACCTGCCGGCGGATCTCCCTTCGAATCTTCCCCGCTCTTCTGTGCAGGCTCGAAATCCGACATCCCCTGACGACGACGTTGACGACGACTGGGACCAAGTCCTGCCCGAACGCGTGCAGACTCGATCTGCTGGGGCCCTCCGAACGCAGTCGTCTCAAGTTGACGTAGGCGCTCAACCAAAACCAGCTGCTCACGTCGAGTCCGCTCAGCAGCCTCAGTCGAAGCATCCGCACGATCTTGAGCTCTCTCAGCCATCTCACGAGCATCAAGTAGTGCATTCTTCGACTCCTCGGCTTCAGCGCGGAGTAGGCGCAGCTCATCATTCGACTGTACAGGCGCCCTATTACGAGAATCGGCGCTCATCGCCAGAGGTCTTCCGTCGTGATGCTACTCCTCCCTTAGTTGATGCATGGGTCCGCGACGCTGGATTGTCGACCACGAGGATCACAAGCCCCAGGCGCCGAGTAATAACTCGGCGCCCATTAAGAAGCATGTCGAGAAACATTACAGGGTTCGCTGGTTGGGATATTCCCCGGCGGACGATACATGGGAGCCATCGAGTACGCTGTTCCAAGATGTACCAGACGTGGTCGTGGATAATGAGTCGCGTAGGAAGACGGCTATTGCGATTGATGCTGCCGATTCCATCCCCAATCTCGCGAGCCGTGATGCTCGCGAGAAACAGAACTTTGACGACGAGTCCCCGAGCGTTTCCGAGATCTATTATGAGGCTCGAGAAAACTTGGATGGCATTTGCGATTATGTGGGTTGCCATAGCGAATCGAATATGGCGCACGTGGGGATCGAACCAGCGACATCACGATCAAGAACTCAGTGGTAAACCACTGCACCAACGGAATGATAGAGAGTTTCGTTATGACTTTTCAAAATTCTGGATGATTAGCGCTGATATAACGGTATAGCGTCCACAGGATCAAGTGTGCGTCCGTGACTCGCGGTGTCTGCTTCCTGCAGATCGTACGGTTGTTGTCGTCAGATATATCCTTGCGCGCGCGGCCAGGGTCATGCTGCTCAGTCGCGTGTCACTGAGCAGGTTCGAGGTCGTGTCGCTGCATCTTTGGTGAAAAGAATCATTCTCAAGTTATGTGCTTACGTTGTAGTAAGCACAACTTAAGAGGGGGGTGATGTAATGGGGAACCTATTACATGAGTAGTTATAAGATTAATACATAATTACATAAGTAGGCATAGGGCAGTATCCGATTAGCGAATACTGCGCGTCATTTTTATTATTGGTTTATTATTGGGGTGCCAGACCCAATAATTAGCCAATAATAAATCGACTTCCATATTGAATGGTTCCCATGAGCTAGGGAACATATTCGCACTTACTGCGAATTAAAACTCAAACAAAAATAAAACAGAGTTATATTTACGAGTTAATTAAGAGCGCTTCCTCAACGCCCTTTTAGTGTAAGACGGTAACGGGTCCTTAGCCCGTTACAGACCATGGAATCGTATACATTCCAAGGTTGACGATCATACAATTGGTCAATCTGGGAAGAGGTAATCAATCGGGACGACCAGTCGAAGTCAGGTGGACTACGGACTTTTCAAAACATGTAAGATCTAACCTCCCTGTTTCAAGAAGTGGTGGAAAAAGTAATTAAAATCCAGCTCCAAAACGCAGGTCAAGCTGACCCTTCGAGCCGACCGAGGAATTGTACCCACAGGAGATCGAGAAACCCGATTACAACAGCCGGGAAGACAGTGATCGCGAGAAATAGTGGTGGCTGGGATATCCATGAATTCATATGTAAAAAACATCTGGTTGCAGGAACTCTGAAGCTCACTACCGATCTGTCGGAATCATCTGATAATTTACCCAACATATCGACCATGAACACTCGAGGGTAAGTACTACGAGGCGATGCAATCTGGCTGGGGGTGTCTACCATGATCGGTGAAGAAGACGGAGCCGCCTTAGACTGTGCCGCAGCGTGTCGTCAAGAAGTGAACCTAGGAGAAGATAACGCAGCCAGAAACGAATCGTCTGTCTGGTCGGGCGAGCTCCCAGACTGATCATTTCATCTGAATCTTCGAATGACGGGGACGGAGATAAATTACTTGGTGGTGGGTGGATCCGTAGCCTTAGACCCAGGATAATTCGGTAAAATGTATGGATCCGGGGTGTGAGATCTGGGTTTAGAAGGATCAAAAGATTGAGTGAATGGAAACACGGAGGTGTGGTTGCACCGCGCGAACGCTTTGAGGTGGCTATATCCGGGGTAGTAGTCTGGCGCTGACGTTTCTTCCGTTGAGGAGACGTTTCAGTGGACGTCACCGTGGGTAACGAGGAGGAAGCCGAAAATCCGTTGCCAGATAGTAAATCGTCCAGACGAGCGAAAAGAGAATCTCGATCACGGATTGCGTGATCACGCTCTGTTTCCAGAGACTACAACTACAGATCAACCTTTGCGCTTGACCATGATATTATCTGCGATCATTAACGATTCCGATCGATCTCACTTCGCGAACGTGACAAATTCCGATCCATCGCAACTGCAATCGTAACCGCGAGCGTGCCCCGTGACGACCAATCATACCCGCGATCGCGATTAGCAATCAGGATCTATGAGGACAACCAAGGACCAATCGCGCTGGACAAAAACCTCGAGTTTAATAAGCGTACAAAGCATATCGACATTCGATATCACTTTGTACGTGAAAAGTTGGAAGAAGGTCAGGTGGTGCTCGAGTACTGCCCAACGCAGGATTAACTGGCAGATATCATGACCAAGCCAATTTCAGCAGCGCAATCCTGTGTACTTCAAAGCAAGCTTGGTATATAAGCATCAATAGATGTCGAGTCGAGCGGGATTTTTGGGCCATGGTGTTGCTGAAGAAGCGCCTCGAGAAGCGAAAACCAGTATACTTGCCCGATGGCGGTGGTGACGCCATTTTTGATGATGTTAATGTCTAAGGTTTTGAAAGACTCTAGAAAAATAGGCTTAGAAGTAGCGCAGGCGAGCTAAGTGTCGCACTTGATGGTTGTTTCGACAATTTGATTCTGTATTAGCATGTTATAGACATACAGCTACTTTGTGTCCTACGCCCAACAATTCCACAATGCTTGGCTGCTAGCCACTCTTAACTTTCTACTTGCGCAGACTACGCGTTACAATGCAACGGCTAGCGCCAATCGCATACTCACGTATCGTACCGCGACACCACAAATCGTCTCCATCTTTTGAGTTCACCTATCTTTGAATGCTCACCTTCCATCACTAAGGACCTACAACATATTCACTTTGCAGTTTGCTAAACTAGTGCTTTATTGAACTTTAATATTTTTGTATGTCAAATCTCTTGGTATGTTGATATGGTCTTCATTGCTGCTGTGCTTTGCTGCTCGTTTAAGGCAAAAATAATAAAATTAATGCATACAATCCACACGGGTTATATTATCCTCTATCTTTTTTTACTATTTCTTAAAACTCCGTTTGGATTGAAAATACTATTTCTTAGAAATAGTATTTTAAATCCAAAGCGAGGTTTTTAACAGATAAATTTGACTGTCAAAAACCATGAGGAGCTCTTTTCAGGTAGCAACGCAGCGGACAGTGGCGCTCGCTCGCTTCGCCTCCACGTCCTTAAAGCAACCGGGTCGTGTGGTGGTCATCACATCAGGTAAAGGCGGCGTCGGCAAGACCACGGTCACGGCGTCCATGGGATATGGTCTAGCTCAGCGTGGTTTTCGGACGTGTCTTATTGATTTTGACATTGGGTTACGCAATTTAGACTTGCATTTGGTACGTTACGTCCGTTTGATACAAAGTGAAGGTAAACCAATTTATGTCAATATTTGCTATTTCTATTTTTGACAACAATGGTGTCAAAATTATATCTAGGGCTGTGAACGACGTGTGATTTTCGATTTTATCCATGTGATTGAAAAAAACTGTCGTTTAAATCAAGCGTTAATTAAAGACAAGAGACTGGAACGACTTTCATTATTGGCAGCTAGTCAAACTCGAGACAAGGAGGCACTGACGGAGGAAGGAGTTGAGAAAGTTTTGGACGAACTCAAGGTCCAATTTGACTTTATTCTGTGTGATTCACCAGCTGGTATCGAGTCAGGGGCACGTCATGCCATGTATTTTGCTGATGATGCTATTCTCGTGACTAATCCAGAGATCTCGAGCTGTCGTGACTCGGACAAAATGATTGGCTTTATTGCGAGCAAGTCACTGCGAGCCAAAGAAGACCGTGAACCTGTGAACCAGCGGCTGCTCGTTAATCGCTACGACGCGAATCGTGTCAAGAACGACGACTGTTTATCAGTGGACGACATTGAAGAGATGTTGGGACTGCCAGTGTGTGGTGTCATCCCTGAAAGTGCACACGTGCTTACGTCTTCTAATATGGGCCAGCCTGTGATTACTGCCGAGGGAGAAAATGCTGCACTTGCGTTTAAAGACGCAGTGGCACGTTTCTTGGGCGAGGAACGTGACATGAAATTCCTACAGCCTGAAGCACCTAAAGGACTGTTCAGTCGATTATTCTCCTAGATGTTGGGAAAGGCAAATGCTCGCGTTTAACAACATGGTAAAGGTCGATCAAATATTTGAGCAAAATACGTATGGCTTACAAATCCCAGAGACAGACAAGACTGGAATGCTCTATCAGCGTCGGCTTTTCTCCTTGCCTCCCTTCTTCTTCAGTGCATACATCTCCTCGGCCTCCTTCTGTTCCAGCTCTAACGCGTTCAGACGTTCCAACACTGGATCATTCATTATGCACATCCGTTAGTAAAGACAATCGATATCGCATATCACAACAGTGAAGTATAAAAGCATACCTGGTAGCAGCTCCTTGTAACGGGCCTCAGCTAGCAAGAAACCCTCTCGCTTGATCTCCTTAATGCTGAGTTCATGTTCCATAGTGCTGGGAAGCTTCATGACTTCCTTTGCCCAAGTCGCGTCGGTTCGCGCAAAGAAATCACGCAGGTTTTCGCCCATTTGAGGTGTACGGTCAACATCACTGAGCCCCAATTGTTCCTGTAAATTCTCCATCTCAGCACGAATTGCTTTGCGATGGCTCTCCTTCTTGGTTTTAACTTTCTTCTTCTTGTCTCTCTTTTCTCTCTTAGGCGTTTCCTCGGCGTCCTCTTTTTCTTTCTTGGCAAGCATCGCCACCGCCCGGTCCACAGCCTTTGCCTTTTCCTTTTCTCCTCGTGCTTTCATACGACCCACATCGTCCTCCTCGTCGTCGTCGTCGTCATCGTCATCAAAGTCGCCGTCGTCGTCATCGTCCGAAGACTCCTCCGTCTCGCTCACTTCACCCTTCCAAATCTGATGAGACATCGTGCCAGGCAACACTTGCTTCCATTCATCGAGACGCTTCAGGTCCAAGGACCAGCAATCGTCAAGTGTGATCTCACGATCGCCATCCTCAACAACACCACCATAGACATATAGCGTACTTCCATGGATCATCACAGCGGGATTAATGCGAGGACAGGGGGCAGGTGCAGCAGATTCTTCCTCCTCCAGTTCATCGAGCTTGATGTCATCATCCAAAACAACATGCTTTTTTTCTTCCTTCTCCTCTCCTTTTGTTTCCTCTTCTTTTCCAAGTTCCAGATCGGATCGCTTAGCAAAGCACGATTCTTGAGACACAACATCGCTATCTCCTTCTTCTCCTTTCTTTGTCTCTTCTTCCTCGTGGGCGTCGTCAATGTACACGATGTTGCCTTCGTCGTCGACGTATCCAAATTGCTTCTCCAGCATCGCATCAAAATCCTCAACAACTTCATCTTCTTCATCATTATCACTGTCACCAGCCGTTTCGTCCTCAAGCGCCTTAGATTCCTTTTTGCGTCGGCGCTTGCCGTCCGTAAGCTTCTTACCACGCAACGTAAACTCGAACCAACGACGACGATCCATGTCGTACACAAACAGATCATTGTAAAACGTCGACTGCATCGTGTGACGACGCTTTTCTTCATCAAACACACCGCCAAAAAGAATAAATCGTTGCTTATGTACCGTCACGGCAGCCCCTCCACGAGGACTCGGAGCCTGGCCCTTTCGTGAGAGTTTCTCCCACGTAGGCGACTGACGCTTTAGCACCGGAGCTAAATTCAATGCCCACAAGTCTGAGTACACTTTGCCTTCCGACTTTTCGCCCACATTCTTCACTTTAGCGTATCCACCGTACACAAACACAAGGTCCTTCGACGGGTGCACTGCCAACTGACAGCCACTACGTTCAGCAGGAACTTGTCTGTGCGGCGGATATGCCACTTTCTGCCATTTGAGCTCTGCTAAATTGAACAAATACAAGTCATTGAACCACCTAAAAAAAGTTCCACACAAAAGTATCAGTCGACTTGCACACAACTCTCTAGATCTAAAATGTACCTACTTGGTCTCTCGTGCAGCCTCGTAGAATCCTCCAAAAAGGACGAGATAGTTTCTCCAGACAACCATCCGATGTCCACTTCTTGGACTCGGTCCACCTTTTACCTCCAATTCTTCCCATGCATTGGTCTTTAAATTTAATCTCCATAAATCTCGGTAATGATGAAACTGATCTGCCGTTGCAAATTCTCCTCCAAATACATAAAGATGATTTCGATAAACCACTGATTGATGGCTACATCTTGGTGGTGGTGTATTAAGTGAACTAATAACTTTCCACGCTGCATCTCGCAGTGTTTCAGTGTCTTGCAGTGTATTCTCTTTATCTTGGAGCATTTCAGTGGTAGCCAGAGGTTGTTTACTGTCGAGATTCCATTTAAACACGTCATTGTAACACACATTCACATCACCATTAAAATATTCACCACCAAATAGCAGCATTTCACCAGAAGGAAGTGCCGAGAGCGTAAAATTGGCTCGAGGTGTTGGCTGTGGTGATATTTCGACTGTTACTTGAGTACGTTCAGTGTCTTTCTTCCGAAATTCTTGTAAAAGAACTTCAATGTCTTCTTCCTCCGTACCCAATGCTTTTCGATCTTTCTTGGCACTTTTCGCACATTGTTTTGCTCTTCGACTTTCTTGTCGCTGAGCTTTTGCTGTCGCTTTGTCCGTTGTTTTCTTCTTGCTCATTTCTTTTATCTTATTATTTATTAGTAGTAGTGACTGGTTTGGAAGAAAAAAAACTATTTGGATGGGGTTTTTTTTAGTTAGTAGAAAACGTGCTCCTTAACTGTAAAATAAGGTTTGTACGTCAACGGATGAATGGTTAAATGGTTCATACAACTGATAGATAAGGTACTTCGTCGTAAGTAAAAACTGTTCACTTTTCGTAAAAACTCCATTACTTTTAATAAAACCAGCAATACAAAAATGAAAATCATCACTGCTACAACTTAAGACCAAGCTGTAATAAAAACCATATATAAGTAAAAACAAGATGCTTGCATAGTTGTGCGTACAACAGAAAACAAAAGAATATATTCTGGTAAGTTATTTATAGCTAGGGATAATAAAGTCGCTGAATATGTTTTGATTACTATGAACAGACTTCTACACTATCTTTCTATCAAGCAAGTGACTCACTCGGTATCCGATCTCATCTTTTTCAATGCTGAGGATCCTTCGCATTCTGCTGCACTATCTCCATTTTCGTTCTCAGAAACGTTCTGTAAGCTTCCTAGGGACGGAATGTCGAGGATCTTGATTCCCCAGAGTAAATAGCCACTGCAAGCGCTCATATTCATCTCTGGGTGCGTTCGACCTGGCAGCACCTGGTTCTCGCGCGTCCACGTCTCGTTCAGTTGAAGATCAATAATGGCCTCCATCTTTTGAAGTCTCGCAAACGTCCGGGTCAAAGGCTACAATATAAAAGGAAGTTAACACAACAGCTGATGCTCGATTGATGCCACATAGTCAAGAAAGACAAACGCAAACTCACCTCGAGGAATTCGGAGTAGACGACAAACGGCTTTGATCGGCCCAAGTACGGCAGCAGAGCCATAAGAACCTCCTCGGGGTCGAAATTCGCCGCTATTACCAGGCTATCGGACTTTTCACGGACCCACTGGCGAATTGTCGATGGCTTTTGACGAAAAATCTTGGTCTCCTCGCGACGTGCCTTCTTCTCGGCGTAACGCTTCTGCTGCTCAGGTGTAAAATACTTCGCACGTTCCGCTGCAAGTCGCTCTCGCTCTTCTAATGTCAAGCCGTCCCTTGCTATCTTTGGAGACTCTACCACCTCTTCTTCTTTCTACATGTACGAGGTCGGAAAAGTTGTTAGCCGTGTGAGCGATAAGTACAACCCTACTAAAGAACAGAAGCAAGATGTGCCGTACCAACTCAAGCAACCGCACTTGCTTAAACGGCACATAGTGAATGGACTCCAGCGTGCGCTTGTCTGCACATAGATATACAAAAACATTAGCAAGTAAGGCCCCGAAGACACAGCTTGGCCATAGACTGGGATGAGATCGTACCAAAGTTAAAACGACGGAGGATGTCAGCAGCAGGTTGCTGGCCATCAAATGGACAAATGATGCGTCCGGAGCCTCCTTGACGTTCGGCCACTGCACCAGCGACCAAACCCATGCAGGTGTCGACCACAAGCACCTGTCCGCCAGCAAAAATGTTTCCGTAGACCAAAATTTGCCCCAGAGAGTCCTCCCGCAAATTGCAGATTTTGGCTGGATTTTTCAACCGGTAAGTACGACAGAGCGACTCCGCCGTGCAGCGCAAGAAACGCACTCGCGGCATGTACTTTTGCTGTTTCTTTTTCAGGTATTTCTGCTTGGAAAACTCGGTCTTTGTCTCCCATGTCGAACTGTTTTCCACCAACTTCTGGATAATCTCCTTTCCAGATGCGCCGCTCTCACGCAATTCACCAATGTCCGCCTGCTTCAATGTCTGTGCCGAATTGGTGTCAGCATAATGTCGGTTATCTCCATCAGGCACAAAATCTTCTCCAGTTTCTACAATAACAAAAGAAGCTATTAACAAGCCCATTTTACAACAAACGTAGTTCAAATCCACGTCTCTACTGCATAAAAAGAACAAAATTATGATTACCTGGCGCCACTGGATCCGGAAAAAGACCACCTGTCACTTTCACCAACTTTTTATTCTGTTCCTCAAAAATTGCTCTGAAAAATTTGACCACAAAATAAATTTAGAAAAGAACACATTAGTTTACACCTTCCACCCCATAAGTAAGAATACCAAATGCTTATTTTACCCATAGAAAGATCCAATGACAGGTTTCAGATTTGCCACTTTTTTGCCGACTCGAATGGATCTATGATGAAGTAATCAAATAAGAAAGAAAATTAATGAAAACTTGATATTGCAATCAATAGGAGTATAGTATTTAGGACGTACTCGTTCTTGGTAACGGTCTGGAAAAACATGCGACCGTCACTGGTTTGGCAAATGACTGTGTCACCCTCATAGATAACAAAAGGCAAGCGAAGTTCGGTAGAAGTCGACAGTTGGATGTCCAGCGTAGCCATGACAACCGATAATGGCTCACCAATCAAACTGTATTCTATCTTTTCAGCCAGTAATTATCATCTAGATGATGGCTACATCTGATCAAATGTAGCCATAATGTAGCAGGCTGATAATTGTTGTAAATCTACTGTTAGCATTATGGTGGAGCATGGATGAGGCATGAGGAACATGATGAGTGTTTGATATTATTAGAAGGACGAAACAATCTTTGCAAGTTCAAGAAAACGACCTCTTCTAAAGAGATTTTTATGACGTCTGATGGAAGTAATGATAGGAGACAGGAAGTTATATGCGTTGAATACGTGCAATGCCCTAGTCGTCATGACGTGATCGGGTGTTTACTTTCGACACTTCTGATGACTATGCTCGTGATGTTAGCCTTGACTGTAAGCCTTGATTTCACCTTTGTGCTCTTTGAGATAAAAACATGGTAGCAGACTCACACAATGCTCTAGTAGATTGGTATAAACGTGGGTGGCCGACATTATATACACTCCCTGATTGATCATCTAGCACATTCCCAGTGAACTTGAACGTTTTTCCATCGGGCTAAGACTCCATACAGAAAAAACAAGAGCAGTAGGTACAGTGACAATTTATATGCCGTCCACGTACAATACCTCTCCATCGCATGTCTATCAAATACATCACGTGTGGTTGATCTCATTCTATGTTTTATTCAGTAATGTGGTGAATGAAGCAATGCTACGAGTAGAAGACCCACTGTCTCTGGGGAAATTTTGCGCGACTAATGTTATATAACTGCTTCCAGTTCATGCAAGTGCTGTGTATGTGATACATTGCGGCGGCATAAAGAAAATCGGAGACGTTTTTTTATCGCTATGTTTGACGAAGTCTTGGACGCGATGATCATCAATATTAGGACAAACTCGAATGATTGGATGAGGCAACACGAGCGAGGGCGTCGGCAACGTTTGACACGCTTGAGATTATGTACGCTTAACCTGATAAGAGGGTATAATTACTATTTTAGTCATGTTTGTGCACATAAATTGTTGTGATAGAGAAACTTCAATTAAAAGTATTAGAATGAAAATATGAACACCAGTGATTCGTGACGCTAATATTATTTATATTATTCGTACAATATTACTACAATCATAAAAAATAGTTTGCCTCTATCAATCAGCAGATCAACTGGCAACGTTTCGTATCAACACGTAGGAAGAACATGACCAAACACAAAATTGTCAACAATGCTGTACATTCATTGTGAAGTCTTCCATTCCTTCGATCGCTATCAGTCCGTACAAATAGTACATAGCGTGTTTTTCTTCCCAAAATATAATGCATTCATACCGTAACCGACAAAAGTAGTCAGCACTGACTCGAATGGCGTGCGTCTCGCTCACATTATTTTTTTATTCTCCACCAATCAAATTCAGTCCTCATGGTTTTTTATTCGTATTGTCTCATTGTTTAATCGAGCATTTTACATCTGACCCTTACGCTATAGTTTTTAACTTGAAAGAGTCTAAAAAGTAAAATATCTTGATTTACGTATAGGTAAAAAAAATGTATGGGGCCAATGCATCCAATACTGGGGAGCGTACAAATTCCAACGTATGGAGAGATACGACTGAGGAAGAAATCTATGGCAGTTATCTCGGTCCTATGGCGAATGATACCGGTAGTGAAATCCCAATCATGCGTCCAACAATGACAGCACGTCCTAGTGGCTCGACGCATCATGATATTGCTGTCGGACAATTAGACGACATAGGGGAAACTACTGCTGGTGGGCCAGTTAAGACGTATTCAGGTCGTAAAGTGGTTTGGCCGGGGGCCGTCTTTTTACTATTTGTAACAGCTGCAGCACTCTCTTTGATTGCGTATTTTGGGGTCCAGCAGTACACGGCCGCACAATTGCAACAATCTTTGACCGAGTCTGTCACGGAAGTCGATCGAAACAGAAGAAGCAAAAGTATCAAGAGCTGTTTGTTGCCCGATTACATTACATTGGATGGAAAAATTTACGCCAAAAACAGTAACACGGGCGAGAAAGAACCAATTGTGTTTACAGGCATCAATTGGAGCGGAATGGAAAATGTTGAAGGTGTGCCACATGGTCTTGCTACCAAGCAGAGCTATCTGGATGATATTGCTGCCAATTTGTCAGACAGTGGCTTCAATGCTGTCCGTCTACCGCTCAATGCACAGATGATTATCAAAAACTCGGCACCTAATACAAAGCTCTTTGTCAACAGTCTGGATACGGACTTGAATGTTGAAACGTACATTGACATGATCAAAAAGATCGTACAGGGTCTGGGGAAACAGCAGATTGGTGTGCTGCTGGATATCCACAAGATCGACCCCAAGTTCACAGCTGACACGTCCGAGCACTTGTGGTTTACCAAAGAATACCCGATTGCAACCATTTACAAAATGTTCGAGACCTTGGCCATGGAACTTTGTAGTGATCTCGAGTACAATATCATTGGTATTGATCTCAAAAATGAGCCTGTGGGCGGCTGTTGGCCTGAGGATGACACTGAAGCGTATTGTGACCCCGACATTAACTGGCCTCGTGCTGTCGAGACCATTGGCAACAAGATTCTAGCCATCTGCCCCAACTGGCTTATCGTGGCGGAAGGCACCTACGCGGTCAACACCGTGGCGGAGATCAACGGCAAAAATGTGACGTACAACGATTGGTACGGCGCTAGTCTGCAGAACGCCAGTGTGAACCCCATTGTCCTCGACACGAAAGGCAAACTCGTGTATGCACCCCACTTTTACTCGCCGAGTGTGTACCCGGCGGGGTACTACTTCCAGAAGCAGTCGTCGAGCGGCGACACGGTATCGGTGACAGAATACTCGAACACGACCGAGGGCAACAAGCTGCTGAAGGCTGCCCTAACTTCTGTGCTGGACAATGCCTTCGGCAATGCCGTGACGAAGGCTGGTGTGCCAACGTTCTACGGTGAATTTGGGGGTATTTACGGCGCGGCAGAGCTACTAGCGGGTATGACAAGTACTCGTACTATCGAGATGCTTATCGAGTATGCAAACAAAATGAACATGACTGGTGGCTTTGCGTGGGCTGCTAATCCCGATGGGTCATTCGACTTTAACGACGTGTACAAGCCCGACGATCCGTGGCAGTACGGTTTGTACACGGACTCGACGTGGAAGAAGTTTCACACTGACTTTGCCACTGGTCTAAAGAACCTGAGGGGCAGCGGTTCCTTCCCTTGCTTCTCAAAGACCACGATTGTGACAACCTCAGGGTCTGATAGTAAAGCCGCAACGACTACGTTGGACTCGGCTGGCGGCAACCCGACTGGCACTGGGACGTCTAAAACTACTGTTCCGACGGCAGCAACGACGACGACGTTAGCGCCTCCGGGTGCCGCGCCAACGACGGCGATCGCACCTCCAGCTACCGTGCCAACGACGGCGACCACACCTCCAGTTGCCGCGCCAGCGACGGCAATAACACCTGCAACGGCAACGACGGCACTTTAGAGTGACAAGTGGACGAACGCGTCTGGCAGGACAAGCATATTTCCAGTGTAATATGCCTTCAGCGTCGCAGTTTTTGCCTCTAGGTTGCCTCGTCGTCGTCAGGTTTTGACGGGCTTGCATGCTTTCTTGATTTTGTTGCCGATACCTCTTGTCAAAAACGTAAAATGGTTGAATAAAAAATAATGCAAGAGAGATCACTTGATGAATGAAGAGAGAAAGTGATAGAAACTTCTACTAAGGCGACAACAAAACTGCCATTGTTCACGCCGTCTTGAGCTTCTTCTGTTGCTGCCTCTCCTTTTCCACACATGCTCGTTTAATGCATGCATTCTTGACAAGAAGTTCATTGTATATGCTCTGATAATTGTGCAGCTTCGTCATGTTCCGTAATTGTTCTTGTTGTCTGCTCAAATTGATCTTGTCCGAGGCCGTCTTGGTTTCCTGCACCATGTGATCATATTGACGATTCATACCGTCCATGACAGCGGTCCGGACCTTAGCCAGTTTAGTCCCATAACCTTGTTGTAGCTCAAGATTCAGCATCCAATTGTTCTGATGTTCGACTGCTACTTGGAGTTGTTTAACCGCTTGTTCCCATGTCTCGAGACTCGCTGCTTGCTTCCCCGTGGGCTCGGAGACTTGATACCGGTTTATATCGATAGCATTCAATGCAACGTTGGCTGATACGCGCTTAAATTCGATCTGAAGTCGTGTTCGACCACCGAAAGACGGTGAATAGGGAGGTAAAAACGCAAGATATTTGTCTTTTGGAGGGGAGAATGTGGCCATTTCAGCACGGATCTGAGCCTGTACTTGTTGCTGACTTGATGCCGAGTTATATTCCGTATCTATATAACCTAATGAGTCAATGAGCGCACGGTTTTCCAACAAAAGCGGACATGATGACGGAGCCATTAGAGGACTTGGTGGTGGTTGATCGAGATGTGTCACTAAAGCAAAATCGTTTTTAAAAAGAAAGTGCTTTCTTTGAGTGTGTTATACCGGTAGAATGTACTGGAATGATACCGGTACATGAAGTAATTACATTTTGCAATATTTACATCTATCCATATTAACCAAATGCATTACACACTCGATCATCGCACACTGCATGCCTTCAAAGATCTTCAGTGCTTTTTCATAAACAAGTATTAATTCGTAGCATTACTTTGGCCTTACAAGCTCCGTCATTCTCATGACAACGCAGCTAAAACTTTTCTTGCTTCTCTAGCAATAGACAACTAAACTCAACATAAAAACATGGAGCTTTCTAGTTGTCACTATATAAGTCACACACATGTATGCTCACACTCTAACTGTAGTATGTTTGTTGGTGGGTGTTAATTCCTCCGGGCATGACTCTAGCACACACAGGATAAGTATCCACCAGCAGCAGAACGGTCATGAAAGGGGTCGTCTTTTACGAGAAAAAGACGTGGAGGGAGAAGAGGCCGAATACCTTCATCACCTTGTGGGTAAATGATCATGGATCCCGTGATCCCGGTGTTCTTCTTCCATGATAACAATGGAAAAGAACGCTAGTATTGAGGGCGACAAACTCCCCCGTATTCAGTCGAATATTGGTCACAAATTGCCCTCTAAAAGACCCCCATCGATCCCCCGCCCACTTCAGCCGCATATTCTGCCTTTTGTATTGCACAGGACGTCGACGTGTGGCTGTCTATCCATCGCATATATAGGACACCAGCCATTGTCTTTCGTGCCACAAAGTAAAACTTCTATACAAATAACAAATGATTATGGGGAAAAAGACGAGTTTCGAATCAAAACCTAGAAACATTAGATTTCACAGGTTTTCAACTGGGTGGCTCAAACCCATTCGAATCTCGACTAAAATGACGATGCTGACGAGACAATTGACACGAGCGAATGGATTGTTGCGTCGACAATATGTACGTTATCTGGCAACATCAGAATCCGAATCCACGACTCCTTCAATACCTTCTTCTGAAGCTCCTTCGTCACGTACTACTTTGAATTTTCGCAAGAAAAAGACATTTCAGTTTTCGGGCGAAGATGCCGAGCAAACGGTACCTCTTGAAGAGTTTGAATACCCTTCGTACTGGGATGTGGACTATCCGTCGGACTTTGATAATGAAATGAAACACGAGGTGGAAAAGCTCCAGATCTTTGCAGACTTTACACCGTATATGGACTTGTCATGGCAGCAGCAGATCCATCCGCTTTTCGATGGTACCCCTATCAGGATGACGCTCACTTGCCCACTCGAGGACTTTGACGAGCGGCTCTTTATTAATGACAGAAACACATACGACACTAAGGTAGTTATGGAGGTGCCTATGACGTGCTTCAAGGGTCTGAACAAGGAGGCTAAGGACCTCGTCACGCAGCTTGCAGGCCCGCGCTACCATGCCAACAAGAAGATGCTCAAGATCGCAGAAGATCGTTACAACACGCGTGTGTTCAACCACAAGCGAATCTGCGATATCCTGCGTGACCTCACTCAGACGGCACTTGAGCTCAGTGGACAGGCCAATGAGACTGACAAACCCAAGACGGATGACAAGTAATAAACAGACAGATGTTCCTTGGAGTCACATGATTGCTAGCTCAGAGGACAGCATGTATGTTGTAATACCTGGGAAGCGAGCAAGAAACAGGCAGACAGACAGGTAGTAATGCTCGTGGTCAGATGATGAAGACGTCTTTCACGACGATAGTAAGCAGCATGCAACAAACGCAAATTGGCAATTTCTTTCTCGAGACGCTTATCAGTATCATGCCGTCCCATGACGATGCTTTTCTAAGGTGCTTTCGATGACACGGGGCGATAGCGCATGGAGCATCGTCCATGCGCCACAAGGTGTTGTAGGATTCCCGCTGCTAGGCTAGCACTATGTTCATGCTTTTCTTTGTTTGCGTCTGTTTTTTTTTTGCTCATCCGTCCGGCAGGGTCCCTTGCTGTTGTGTTACTGCTGCGCTCGAGCACTATAGGACTAAATCCTGCACACGTAAGAACTGGATTGCGTCACGTAGCGCACCCATCGCTTGTACGTGTAGTTGGGGTGGCGTGCGTGTTCCGGAATGCGCAGGTAGCGCACCTGGAGACTCGAGGTATTGTACATGGGGATTTCGAAGTTCATGCTGACGGGACCGATCTCACGCCGCACGTGCGCGCTGGGCTGGCCAAGCGTGATCTTGGCACGCAGCGTAAGTTCTGTGCCGCCGGTGAAGCGCTTGATGGCCCAACGAACCTGATTCTCGTTCTCGCGGTACTCTGCCAACTGTCCGGTGCTCTTGCCAATATCGCACGACACTGCCACCGTTGATTGCGGCACCGGGAAGCGGATGATCACGTTCGCGCCGTAGTTGTTCTCGGGCATGTCGGCTCGGATCTTGAGCACCATCTCGATCTTGGTCGGGGACAGCTCTTCCACGAAGGGGAAGATACGGAAAGGCGCCCGGAAGTCGCCGGTGATGCGATAGTTAATGACAGTAAATTCTCCGTCCGGTGGCTGGAAAATCAGCACACGGTCGCGCTCGAACTCGTCCAGTTGCACACAGTCGTGAAAATTGCAATCATCAAGCACAACTTGTCCGTACTGTCTCGCTCCTGTGTTTCCAATGACCATGTCCTCATTCAGTGCCAGTCGTAGCTCTGGATTGCCCGACAAGTAGCTCTTGAGCTGGATGCGTCCCTCAATAGAGGCATTGAGCATCTGTCCTCCCGAGGAAAAGACGACATTGAGTCGTTCTAAAATGTCACAAAAGAGTTCGTTCTCATCCTGTTTCTTCGAACTTTGACCGGCCGTGGCTACAGGTTTCTTAACGGCACTGGCCGCCTTGATATTGGAGCTGCGATTCATAAACTTGGAACTTGCTTTGGGTTTTGACAATGCCGCGTCACCCACAAGGATAGCTTCATTGTGTACGTGCACCTTGAGTCCCTCCGTACTTGTGTCCTGAGCAAATCCATAGTCGAGCGTCTCATCCAGCAGTTCATAGCACAGAATGAAATTCTTACGAAGCGTCTCTTCACTCAGTACGCCACAATAATCTTTAAACACGCGACAAAGACGTGTCAGCAGCTCTAGAATATAACTCGGACTGACATTGTAGCGTGTGGTTGCTACGAAATAGAGTCCATTCTTCTTTACAAACAAGTAATTGACCCCATCGACATGAAATGTTGGAGGTGCATCCCCCTTCTCCCAGAATTTAACCTTACGAAAGAAAATCTCGGCGGAATTACTCTCAACATCACCTCGAAAGTCCGAGAAGATGATTGTATCACCTCGTGTTGAGAGGATATAAAACTGGGAGATCGATGATGACATGGTAGTGACTGTAACGGGTGCCACGTCAAAAGGCTCAATTAGTACTGTACTTCCCCCTCGATGAATCAAAAGACGGATAAAAAAGGTAAACAAACTCTCTATAAGAGCGACCTCTACATAAGAATAACCACGTTTAAGAATTAATTTTCTATTTTGTCATACACGCCATATCTTTCTCAGGTCAACCCGACCCGTTTTTTTTTCTGGAAAACCCAAGTGCAACCAACACAACAATTGGCGCGGGATTGAAGGGAAACGATGCCAAGTAGCGAAGAATCCGGAACGCCGCGTCTTAATGTATGGATATTGGAAGAATTTAGTGATCTTGTAATAGCATGGGACCTTGCAGTATCTCGTCCACGTGATAGTCCGATGCAAACCCTTCACGATGCAGTCTACAAACACTTTGTCGCCCGTCGTGGCGGTTTTACACGTCGTAACAAAGCGGCACTTACAAGTAAACGGAGTGCGCTTAAATTCTCGTACCTCTTTGTACGGGATTTCAATACGGGACAGAAACTACAGAATGAAAAGCTGTTTTTTGACCTCTCAGAGGTCGAACGATATCAATTGATGACGCAATGGAAGAAACAAAACTCAAGTGTCATTGAACTCACTCCTGATATGTTTAAGATCTTGGGACGGATTATAACTAAAGGAGGAGAGGAAGAACCCAGTTGGCCAAGAATAAAAGATCAACAAGAAGCAAAAGGGACAGTCAAAATGGAGACAAGACCAACACGAGCTTCCGTAGCACCTTCTGATGGCCATGCTACGTCCATTTTTATGGAAAAGACGACAATCAATACGAAGAAACAAACAGCTACAGCTCGTAGTCTTGCAACGAGCAATCCCTGGTCATCAGATGAGATGATGAAGTTGGTAAAAGCTTGGGGTACAGCAGCTCACTTAGTCTGTGAGAGTCCAACGGGTGAACCTATGTCTATTGTTCATGAGATGTACAGACAGTTTCAATTACTTCAAGGGGGTAAGATTGTCCGGAATTTATCGGGATTAGCTACAAGACGTCGAGTGTTGAAACAGTCCTACTCGAAGATTGTGGCTTTTAATAAGATTCAAGAGATGAATGGAAACCCCATGTTTACCGAGTTATCTACGACAGAGAGACAAAATTTGATAAGGTCTTGGAAGAATGCAAACGTGTTGGATCTGTCGGAAGAAATCTATTCGGAATTAGACAAGATCATCCCGTTGGATACACGAGCTGTCGCACTTGAAGACATGCGGCGTGCTAACGCGGGAACCACATCGAACTCAGGAAACGGACGAGCAAACCGGAAACCAGGAAGACCACCAAAAAAGCAGAAAGCTTCTAAGCTGACGCGTGATAGCAACGACGAGGAAACGTTTTCTTTGCAGCCGTATAGTGGTGTCGATGACAGTGAAGAAGAGAAAGCTTTTGTCATTCCGAGGATAAGTGCCCACAGACGCACAGAGCTTGACAACAAGGTGAAGACTGCTGATCAGTCTGCCGAGAGTGTTTTCTTAACACAGCAAAAACACTCACGCGTTCGTACTGAAGGCATTCTCGCCAGACAAACACCAAGTATTTCGGCAAACCGCGATTCTAGCGTCATGCTAGATACGAAGCCAGATGTTGAAGGGCTACGTACTATCAAGACTACTGATAGTGCTGGTAAAACCGCAAAGTCAACACCAGTGTCTTTTTTGCAAAAACATCTCGTGCAGAGTGGATCCCCAATTGCGCAACTGTGCGCAAAAGCAGATAGCTTTACCGCTGCTGATGGTGAAAATGGTATTGTCGAGAGGTTAGAACATCCTGCGCTTCACCGAGATCGCAAGGCTAAGCCAGTCTTAGTATCTAGTGCTCGAAAACAACTCACGAGTAGGTTAATTTTTTCGGGGGCATTTCAACAACCGGAAGTTGCTTATGCTGATGATGAAGATCTTGGCATCGAGGAGACAGGACTTTCCGTGTGTAACCAAGACCATGGGGCTATAATTCTAAAGCCTAGATCTGATGTGTCGAAAGTCGATCATAACGAAAATGTAATTGCTAACGCAACACCGACTAATAACACAACGGATCCTGCAAAACACTCGAAGAAAAAGCGCAAACTTAATGTTGACGGACCGAATGGACATTTGTGGGAGAACAAAGAGCTCCAGATACTTATTAACGCGTGGGAAAAGGCAGCTATTATAGTGTGTAATAGTGCTCCTGCCGATCGGTTGTCCCTCAATAGAGAGATGTATCGCGAGTTTGTTGAGGTGCAAGGTGGAAAGTCGATGCGAAACAGCACCGCCCTTGCCGCGCGTCGAAGCTCACTGAAGTTTTCATATGCTCACATCCAATCCTTCAATGAGTCACAGAAGGCTAAGGGGGAACCTTCTTACCATGAAATTTCAGAAGATACGAGGATGACTCTACTGCGGTCCTGGAAAAACCGCAACTCGGTGGATCTTACGAAGGAAATGTATGATGGTTTGGGACGTATCTTTGCTATGGATGAAAAACTTGCCAAGGTTCGAAGTCTCCGCCCACCTCCAGTACCCAAACCCAAGAAAAAAGAAAAAAGCTATATGGAAACCAATGACTCTGACACGAACCACGGTTCTAAAATGCCAAAATGGACCACTGAAGAGTCCTCAGACTTGATTAAGGCGTGCGCAGATGTGATGAACGTTCATAGCGACAAAAAACAGTCAGCCACAGAGCGAGAAGAAATGATATACGATGCTTTTGTGGCTCGTCGACAAAATGCAGGAGATACCGACACGCCTATCCGGCGAGACCTTAGATCGATGGCGCAACAGTGGAGACATATTCTTGCTTCATACTCGTATATCAAGGAATGCAACGACAATCGTTCCGAGGGAGAGAGTTCATCCTGGTTTGATATGTCAGCTGTGCAAAAGCGAGCGTACCAGCATTGTACGAACGTCCCAGCAAAATTTGTGGATCTTGATGCCGAGATGTTTGCATTGGTTACTGAAACCTCATTCGTGGAGGAAGTAGATCCGCCTCTGCCACTATCTGATATTAAAGGAGCCGCTGAAGGTATATCGCTGCGTCCTCGGTCAACGCGAAAGAGAACGGAGGCATTTTGGTCGTCAGATTCCGAATCGTCGGTGAATTCGAAGCCGATACCTAGTGCGAAACGTGCCAGCAAGAAAGACTCAAAACTACCCGCGGTAAAGAAGGGGAACAATTGGCCTATTGAAGAGGTATGGAATCTCGTTCAAGCCTGGGAAGAAGCATCAAGAGTGACGGAGAGTAGTAGACTAACGTCAGCGCTGGGTGAGACATTTACACTATTTACAAATCTACAGGAGGGTCCCCCCAACCGGCATCGAACTGTTAGCAGTGTGCGAAACAAAATGATCGCGTTGAAGTCTTCATTCACGCGTATCTCGAACTTTATCGTAGAGATAGGTGACAGTTCGGGGTGGTTCGACATGCCTCCGGAACAGAGGTTGATTGAAATTCGCAGCTGGAACAACAAAACGATCGTAAATCTTGACAAGGACATGTACAATGCACTGGAGCAGATTTTGTCGAGGAAGAAAGATGGGACGCAAGAGAAACCCGGCAAGCGCAAATTAGGTAAACCCCAAAAAACTGGACTTGATACGAAAACTGAAAAGGAACAAGATAAGACGGGTCACACTGGGCAGAAGCACGAGAAGTGCGTAGTTGCAAATTGGAGCAAAGAAGAGTTGCTTATGCTGGGCGAAGCTTGTGGTGAATTGCTGGAGGGGCGACGAAGTCGGCGGTATGTATTTGAGGAAGAAAAGGATCGGTTTTTCCGTCGATATGAAGAATTAGGTGGAACCAATTCTCTGTCTGCGACCGTGGGACTTGCCAGGTTCGTGTTGGACTCGTATGAGTTCATTTACTTCTACAACCAGAAAGCAGCCGAAACCAACTGCTTTTCCTGGTTTGAACTCTCCGCGGTAGACCGAGACTCAATTGTATCGAGAATAGGCAAAGCTCACCGGAGCTTTAACGGCTTGAGTACTGTTGACGAAGATATATTTGACGTGATTGATAGAATTGATGCTGAGTTGCGCGTGAAGCTGGGCGAGACAAAGAAGAAGACATACAAGCCTCCGAACGATGCTGCATCTTCTCGCTACGTCGACATTGAGGCTGTTGTTGAGCGGTGCTTCTTTAGAAAGAGAAAGCATTCGGCATCGAAGAAGGCCGTTGTCCGCGAAGTACCAGTACAGTTAGAGGAGTTGTCGGATGGAGAGGCAGACTTATCGTCATCAGAATCGTCGTTGCCTGAGGAGTCTGGTAGTGATTCGAGCGCCCCAGTTAGGGTGAAGTCTCGCCAATTGAAACACTCAGACGAAGACAGTCCCACTCATTTACCCAGGCACCGCGTTGTTCCCCGTAGATCCAAAGCTATTCATAAGCGCAAGAGAGGTGCTGGTATTGACGGTTCTACAACGCTGTACATTACGGAGATTATTCAAAAGCAAAACAGACAACTAGAAGAGGCCGTGAAGCGCTTTCGAAAGGACAGTGCGGATGCTCGCAAAGAGCACCATACTTTTTTGGTGCAGAAGATCCAAGACAGCTTTCCTGTTGACACCGGTAACGGCTCCTACTTGGAGCGAGTCGCTGACCGACAGGGCCAGACCTTGGTGGAAATTTTCCAGAGATTGCAGCAGCAACGTGACGCTGAGAAAGCGAAAGACGACGAGCTGATGCGCCAGTTATTCAGTCGAGTGGTCTAGCTTGAGTACCAAGGTTTGTCTGACATGTAAGGTATGTACATGAAGTTCATGTAGTCGGGTTCATACATGAGTGTTACGTGCATATGCGTAACAATTGAGATTATACGTGTTAGCTTTGCAATCATGTTTTCGTGTAGAAAAGTGCTCCGCACGTCGTATGTGTCTGGACACGAGCGCTATCTCTTACTGCAAATAGTTGGACACCTCCAGGAAGTGCTACAGGGCCAACACTGGTGCTCACGATACACCCACCAAGCTGGGACTTTGGCAAGGTGCCAGCGCAAAGCTGGCCAATATTCTTTGCGTGAGCCAAGTCCTCAACCTCATTCAACGCTCCGGCAACCATAAATGCACCGAACACACGCTCATTTGCCAAAGACAACCTGTCTTGGGTGCTTCGAATGGCCTCTGCAAGTGCTGGAGATGTCCACGTCGGGTGACGCGAGGCAAGAATTCCATACGCTCCATCCTGCCAGCCGAGACCTGGTAGCGACATCAAGTTGTTTTGTAACCAAAAGACAGACTCCAATCGATTAATGTGCGCCGAGTTTGAGATCGGTGCCTCATTCTCGTTTGTACTGCAACGATCGAGCAAATCTTCGAGCGGCGCACTGTCTTGGCATGAGAAGATGTTGAGGCATCTGCCCTCACGTTCAATAGCCAGTCTTTCGGAAGGGTCCAATAGGTCCACAACGCGATGCAACGAGGTATCTTCCGTTCCGTCGTGGCTCAGTATCGCGACGAGGTCGTGCGTCACAACCTGACTCATTCCCTCCGCTATGCTTGAACGCACACATCGAATCACGGGTGTGATCGGACGATAGCCGCTTGAGGAAAATGACCGGATGCCTACTTTACCATCAAGACAAAGAAGCATTGTCGAAGGAAAAACTACTTGGCCACGTGGACGTGGTCGTCGTCGAGCATTCAGCTTGAATCCTCGGTTCTTCTTTCGATCAAGACGGCCAACCATTGCTGCAATTGCACCACAGTACGTTGCGAGAGGGACACACCGGTCGCTGAGTGGTGAAACTGCACCAACAACTGTGGCTCCTGGATACCACTCCTCTAACAGTGCCACCAACTGACTTGCACTGGTGTCGTTCACTCCAAACATCAAAAACGACGGCATATCGCTTTCTAACGCAGTGAACGGGTTATCCAACTCCGTTCCTCGATGACACTTTCTCAGGGTTTTCCGATCGAACTCTGCCATCTCCATTGTCGTGTCAATCAAATGAGCAACTGAAACCGACAACGTCACGGCGCTAGATGATGCCGCTCTTCCTTCCTGTTCTTCCACCTCTTCCTCGCTCGTTTCCAACACTGCATTCATCGTGAACACTCCAGCGATTCTACAATTGGGAGGTAACAATCTCGCTTCCTCGATAGCTGCAATGGCCTCTTCCCAATACCCGCCACTATGCCATGGACTGGAATCTTTACTAGCAGCCGAGAGCAAGATCAAGTCGGGTGCAAAGCGAGTGTCAGCCCATTTCAAATGGTTGGTTCTCAGCAACTCCAGGCTTTCCGAGCCATTAGCCGACGGGCCTAAAACCGTCGACCGCCATTCCGGATGCAGCGTCTTCGCTTCCGTCACCACGTTTCTCCACTCAGTACAGACACAGAGCATTGTGTTGGTGTCTTGCCATGTTAGAAAAGGAAGCAATTGCGTCCAGAGATCGGAAGGCAGGGACGTCGCACGACTTGGGAGCTTGACACCATTGCGAGTACGTGGAATTAATTGACGACGGTTGCGTGCAGCTGTAGCGTTATATTTGGAAGATATGGTCGAGCTGCATTGAGGCCCGTTGGGGTACTGGGGGCTACGACGGGCCGATCGGCGGGAGGCCATGGCGTTTGCTACGTGAGACTGGACTGCCAATTCTCAGATGGTAGAACGCACCAGATGGACACATGAGGCTAGAGACTATTATTTGTATGCTGGAATGATGCTAACTGAAGCGTACGGACATTCACTTCGTGCATTGATGGATTCATGCGTTGCAAACGGCTATCTGGATCATCTTTTCAATGTACGGCTTGATCGAGCCTTTTACTCATGGTGAAAGCAATGGCGCTGGAGAGAAGGCCGCTTGGAAGGGGGGGTCTGCAACAGTATCGCTCGAATTGCAGGTCAGATTGCTCATTCTTGTTGTGCATGTGTATATGTGGTCATGTTAAAGTGTAGTACACGTACACTGCGCATATAACGCCACCGTCAGACAGCGTGCAAGTAGTTTTTGGCTTGTCATCAAGCTTCAACGTAAGGTAATGCCCAAATGATGGATGGGAAGAGCAAGGTGACGGCAGATGTCTTAACTTATTCTGCAGATAAACCGCCACCTATGACAGCATCTTCTTCTCGTGAAGACAGGCTAGAGCGTTGAATGTCCCAAAGAGTAGTCCGCAGGGAGATGTATCCAAGCGACATCGCATGTCTCAATGGCGTCGATTTTGCTCTCGCTTCATCAGCATCTACCATAGCGTTTACCAGCTCAAACTCTTGCTTCACCCCGAAACGTTTGTAGCATTGTTGATTCTGCGCTCTCAACCACGAAGTCAGTCTGCTTCAGACTTTCAAGATCTGCCATGTGCGACGTTAAGGTGTTCGCTCTGAGCGCCATAGTGCTGTACATTAAGTTCCTGGCCTGCACGATGATCCAAGGCCGAAAAGCCTTTGCTGCCGGCACGCGCATGGCGGAGGATAGCATGCTACCTCAGGCTATGAATGCCCCACGACAAGGATTCTTAGAACTCACGGACGATAACGTCCGAACGGCGGTCGAGGAAGAAAATCGCTGGAAGCGCATTATTCAGAACGACCTCGAGTCCATGCCGATGGCCTACATCGTGTTCTGGAGTGCGATCACCGTCGGTGTGAGTGCCTGCATCACCAAGACACTGCTGCTTGTCTATACGATCGCTCGAGTCAGCCACACGATCGTCTACGCTCAGGGCTTGGCTCGCACTCGCATGGTTTGCTGGGTCATTGGCGTGGTCTGCATTGTTATCAGTGCAGTGGCTATTGTCGTAGTTGCATTGATATAGTCAACGTAAGGAATTGAGAACAGTCATGGCAAGTATCTCCTACATTTTGTTTCAGTCCACAGCTTACTTCTTGGTTGGGTGTTCATGTGTCAAGTCGACTCAGCTCTGTGAACTATCATGCTAGGAACCACCTCTGACGTCAGAAATTTCAGCCTCACAGCTTCCATTCCTGCAAACCGTTCGCAGCCGACACGTGCTTGCTCCGAAGACAAATAGTTGTCCAAAAGGATGAAAGGTGCTCAAAATGGGTCGTGGTGGTGACAAATTCATGCCGAATGACGTGACAAATGAATATGACCAGGATGTCTTTGAAGGAGGTAAAAACGCTAGTCACGGATGTATTAGATCAGTAGCTGTTCCCTACTCTATTGTACGGTGCACCAGCCTTCCGGTTCTTGTCCAGGATGGTAATGCTTGCCGGTCTTCCAATTGGGACAACGGTCTTCCTCCTTCACACCTGCCACCCACATCGACAACAGAAGCTCTTATTAGAAGATACAAATAGTACATGGCTCAAAATCACAATTCAGTCGCACCATTAAGCGCACTCTCAATATGCATGCCGCAGTCTCTCCATGTGGGTTTGTGGCAAGTCGAACACTCGGTTTTCATGCACATTTTAGACTTGGGTTCGTTCAAAGACACGTTAATCCGGCTACAGTTACATAGATCCTCTATAATTTAATACATGAGCTCTTCGTCGATTGGACCCCCCCCCCCCAAGAGCTCATTTACGAATTCACCGTCTTCTAACTTCCAGTTCATCATGTGCATGAAAATAGAGTGCTCTACTTGTCACAAGACGACGTGGCGAGGATGTGGCAAACACATTGATGCTGCCCTTGAAGGTACGTCTTGTCAATTCTTGTAGTCTCTCATATAAGAAATGTATCTGACAACCAGGATAATCAATGACAGGTGTAAAGGAGGAAGATCGTTGCCCGAATTGGAAGACCGGCAAGCACTAAAAGTACCAGACGACAAGGACATCTTTTCTAGCAGATAGGAATAGGGATTAAGAGGTGCTTGATACTGCTACTAGTAAACAAACAAGATAGCAACACTTGTCAACGTTGATTTCATTGTCATCATGTGGGATACATTCTTACGTAGCTGACCTACTGCAGGGAATACACTTCTGCTGGGTCTGCCTTGGCAGGTGTCTCATCTTGCCGCCAATTCCTGTATGTACAGCTCTTTGCACTTCACTATATACCTACTTGTTGTTCGTCTATTAGCTTGTCTACATCTTGTATACAATAGGCGACGTCTCAATTTCTCGGGTCTCGGACGCTTCTCGCAATGAACCTGTTTGTTTCGTGGGAGTTTTGGGCACATCCTCAACCAAAAACGTCGACGTCTCTGCAACTGCCGGCAGAGCCGCCTCCATCTCTTTGCTGTAATTCCTCAGAATTCTCGATGCTCGCTTGGGCCTTGGTCGCCCCATCTCCACGCTGCACTTCAACTTCATCACCGGGGACGGTGTGCACATGCTAAACGTCGACGATGGCCGTCCGTTTCCACCTCCAGGAGCTACACGCAGCCTTCTCCTCGCTCCACTGCCACTACTTGTAGACAGAAATTTGTGGCTTGACTTGGCCACGAGCTTGAGATTACCTGATCCTGACCGAGGCTTTTTACTTGGGGTTCTCAACGGCGTCGGCTCCAACTCTGGCTCTGATGTATGCAATTTTTGGATTCTCTTGCAGAACAACTTGATGTCCTGTTCCTCTGGGTCAAAAAAGACCCCAACGACGCCGCTGTCGTTGGCAACTCGGATATTCACAACGTCATCGTCCACCAGCACCGTGTCCCGATTGCAGATAATGTCCCCTGATCTTTGCTGGACCTCAAGTGCAGCAGAGATCATAAAAGGCAGTTTGAATTTGCGATTCAAATGACGTCCATCCGTCTGCCAAAGTGGCAAAAAAGACGCCGTCTGGTCTTGTGTCAAGGACCAGGAACGGTCGTCGCCTCGAACCACAAGTTGACTCACTACTTGATCACTAAAGCTCAGACGGAGCACGTCCTGGATCAACTCGACTTGTGGACTAAAGGTTACAATGGCTACATTTACATGGGCCTCACACAATAGCGGTACAAGTAGGAGGAAGAAACGACGGACGTATGTACGCAGTTCCAGAGCCGAAGCGGCCCATAGACCGCCCGTGTGTACAGTCACAAATGTGGCATCAAAATCAATACACACGAGTTTGGCACCTGTAGATTGCAATCCGACGGCAACTTCCATAGCCGCCTGGGTCTCTTCCTGGTCCACACTTGGACGGCGCCTCGACGCCATTGTCCACTAGATAATAGCAGCACTTTATCAACACTAAAGTCCACCGATATTATTCGACTTTATTATGAAATTTCGAGGAAAAACAGGTTATGGTTTGCAAAAAAGACTTGGGACGTCTTGATCAAGGCACTTCAAATACTGTAGCCTTAGCCGCTCGAGATGCTATTGTTTCACTTGTTGCTCGGTTGTTTTATTCCACTTGACAGGAGCTTTTACGTCGTGCTTGAGGGACTAGACGACAAGGCTTTTGAATTGGGTATTCTTCACAAAAAACTGAATGATTGAAAAGCACAATGGCTATTGGAAAACTAGCGCTGGGAGATCGATTCTCTCGAGCATTCATCAACTAAATGACCTCCTTCTCCTAGCCAGACTTCTTGTCGTCGTAGGTTGCAACTAGACAGACAAAAGACTTAGTCGTGGCTTTCCACAAAGGGATTTACGCCCTTCTTCTGGTCCAGATTCGCAAACGTGTGATTCACGTCACGGTGGTGACACTCATCCGCTCGAATGCATTTGACCATGTCGTACACAGACGCGTCCTTTGGTAGCTTGTAATATGTCTGTGCGATGAGTGGCGCCTTCTTCTGTTTCCACGCATCCAGATGGCCATCTTCAATGTCCTTGAGCAGGTACGTGTACGTCTTGACGGCCTCTTCCTCCAAATACCCCACAAAGCGGTGACAAATTTTGGGCGACACCAGATACGTAAGGAAGAAGGCGTTAAAGAAGACGCCCTGTGCACCAACCACGAGCGCACGGAAGAAATAGTTCGGTTGCTTGAGGTTCATGAAGATCAGGAGGTGCATACGCTCATTCTCGGCCTCTTCTAGTAGTGTGTGGATCCAGCCATAGTCGCGCTTGAACATGCGAAGCGAACGAAGGTGACGCAACATGCCGCCTACCATGCCGGGCACCCCTGCCACGGACTCGAGGAAAAGACAACGGTTGAGCCAGTCCTTTTCGGTCATCGCGCCTCCCGGTCCACGGTAGCCCGAGACGATGTCAAAACCCGAACGGAGTGCCTTGACCGCCGAAAAAGCGACGCGTTCGTGCATCTTGGTGACGGGGTGGTGTTTCTGCTCCACAGTTGTGATCTTGTCGAGGTCGTAGACGGCGTGCTTGATGGGGTGATCCCACACAGGTTCACCGTCTTCGTTTGTCGTACGAAGCGGATCTACGTTCTTGGATTCCAGGAAATGAGCCTTGTAGGCAGGCTCGCTAGTAGCGTCAACGGGCTCGGAGTGGGTCTCGGTATCCTCTTTCTTCTCTTTCTTGTTCTTGTCAGGTGATGGTGTTGGGTCGGCTGGAGCAGTTGACAAGAAGCATGCTGAGGAAGGAGCGAAAGAGAATGGGAAAAGTTGGGGCTTAAGTGCCTTCGTAGCTTGGCGGCGGAGCAGTAGCTGTATCGTCATCATCTTGGAATGCGTGTTGCTGCTCAAAGCCCGATTGAAGGATAAGGTAGTGAATGGCGTGGATGAAAGTTGGGAGACGACGTACGAGACCGTCTTACCTTACGTACCATTTTCTTTCTCTTCTCATTTGTGCGACTTGGGGGCACACCGATGCAATCAATCCTAGCTTGCATGTGCGTACCCATGCGATTCACTGGAACACAAGACACCCTTTACAGGCCATAACGGCTTCGTTTCTTTGCCTCGAGAAGAACCTTAGTACCAAACTACAGCGTCGATTCCTCAATCATAGCTATTTTCTGGCGAGAATGATATAAGTCTCCAAACCGATCGGAGTGCCCTTGGCGAGCCACTCATCAGCCATACGTTTGATGACTGCAAAGCGCTTGGTCTGCAGCTCTTTGTCCTCGAGGCACATCATTCTCTCTTGGAACTTCGCAAACTCCTCGCCACTCCAAAGCTCCACCACACACTGGAACGGCCACAATTGAATGCGTTTGAATCCAGCCTTAAGAAAACGCTGGCGCAGTGCTGGGATGTCCTTGCCCATGATAAAATTCGGATGCTCCGTCACATTCTCATCGAAACCGAGCTCTTTGTTTGCAGCTGTGCTAATGACAAAGTTGCCGCTCCGGTCAGGGGATCCCCAAATGGTGAACCCCGCCATCCCGTCGGCGGTCAATACTCGACTAGCTTCACGGAGTAACGCATCAGGGTCCGGTGTGAGCTGCAGACAGAGACTGGCAACGTAGCGGTCAATGGAACCGGTAGCGATATCCGACAGATCTTGACCTGCACCTCCAAGCATTAGCGCATGAAGTAAAGACTGAGGAATCGAAAGCTTAGTGAGGTCAACTTACCGTTAGCTTCTCTGCATGTGATCTCAACGATATCCGAACAAACACCGCTCAAGTTCTTTTCAGCCATGTCAATCATCACTGGCGACAGGTCCGTGACCGTGAACGTCCGCTTGGAATCTTGAGGCAGCTTGGAACAGTCCTCAAGCAGGTACTGAGCGATATCGAGCGATCCCAAACCAGCTCCAGCTGCGACCTCGAGCACGTTCTGAGCGCAATCCAGTTGCATGTGCGAGTGCAAATGCTGAGCACACTGCAACGTCATGCGCTTGTTTGCCGTCTCTGTAAATCGCACCGCGAACTTGTTCCAAGTAGTTCGTGTGATCTCCAGACGATCACCCATATCTCCAAGTGTTAAGGTAGAGAACAATCGGGAGTATCGTTCGTGTTCTGTCAGTGGAATCTGAGGCTGTCGCAGCGTTTGATGATGTCTTAAGACCAGGTCCGAGCTTACAATCTCTTCTTGTAATCCAGACGTACTCACCAACGACCAATGCATTAGAGATGAATGACCATATCACTATAGCTTATCGTTTCTTGGACTATCAACGATTGGAGTCCTAGGATTCATATACCGACCATTGTTCTGGTCATTAGAAAACGAAGAAGGCGTCATCTATAAGTCGCAGTCACTTAGTGGATCGGATATCTCTCGAGCTTCGCGCTGGGATGAAAGTTGTGACCACGAATGGAGGAGCCCTTCTATATGTGTCGGTTGTATCCTGCAAACAATCACTCGTGCTTGAGTCAGGGACAGGATAAAAACTGTAGCCGTTTTGCTGGTTTCATTCCCAGCAGATTCCACAGCAGTGCTCTCTCATCGAAACTTGCATGACATTCCAGTCAGTCCGGTGGAAGGGATATCATACCTGAAAACTGTCCAGACGTATTACTGCAGGTCAGATTGATCCCTAGAAGACTGCACTGAAAATGAGACCGTCGTCGTCCTTCCGAAGCATAGAAACTGCAGTCTTGCCACTTCTCATTTACCCAGCGACATAAGCACGCAGGCCATTCACAGCATCAATGGCTGATCGTCTTCCGCTCTCGTGCTCCTCCTTGTACAGCTATGCGCAGTCGGCTCGGTCGAGACCGAAGGTGATATCCGGTGTCTCTGTATCAGCGTGGAAGAAAGACGACAAAGTCTTGCGTTGTGGCGTTTGCGCGAAAAAGTTTGGATTACTTCGCTGGAAACATCATTGCCGAGCAGTAAGTCTAGAGTCGGGTATCCACTTCTTGTTCCAATCACGCGTAACTTACAATTATCGTTCACGTTTGTAGTGTGGTGACATTTGCTGCCGTCGATGTCTGGGTTTCTGTCTCGTGAATGTCCCGGAGCAGGGTGTGGATCTAGCATATACGTGCGCTCGCTGCGTGCAGAAGAACACAAGCAAACACACGCTTGTCGGTGGTGTCGACTGGCCTTTCAAGGGAGAACCGCATAGCTTCAAACTCCGCCTAAGCCGATCAGCTAATTCGCTTTCGACCATGGTGACAAGTGACTGCACTCCTTCACCTACTTTAGCCTCGCCGTGTTCGTTTTCCTGGTCGATCACGCCGAGACCTTCGCCACCGCAGTGTGCACGAGAATTCGATGTGATTGTCAGTCAATACCATAACCAGAAGCTCCACTCGGTCTGCTCTCTGCTTATAGACTATCTCGACTGCATTGGCGGGGCTATCGTTCTTATTCAGGATCACCACCTGTGCGTAATTGCACACAAAGGACTCCATCCACAAGTTCTGCATGACCCCACGTTCCTCTCTATTTGCAGCCAGGCGCTTTGCACACAGAATGCTTTCACCGTGCCTGACACCGCCAACTCTTCTGCTCCTACTTCGTCGGTTGATCCCAGCAGGTTTCAGTTTCTTGGAGCTTCTCCTCTCTTCAATATCCGTGAGACTGTTGGACCAGCACTTGGGTGCATTGTGGCACTCGACACTCGTGCTCGCAGCGCTGCTTCCTCGTCAAAGATGCGTATCACTCTCGATATCCTCGCTGATCATGTGATGGATTTATTGGCACAGGAGTAGACCGTCTTGCGCATCTATGCTTCAGGCGATTTCAAGATCGTCGCTTCACCTGTTACGAAAACTTGTCATCCGATGGGTTGAGTAGCACTTCATCGGCTAGTTTCGGATTCATCGATGCACGGACGACGGTCCTGTAGATCAAGCAGCTTTGCTCAAAGTGGCGATTATTTCTCTCAAGAGCGCGAGCACACAGAGAGATAGCAGCAAGCTGTTGACTTGCTCTTCCCCTCAAGCCCATGAAAAAGCAAAAACAACAGGCGCTTGGAAACTTTAGTGTAGCAACTCCAAAAGCAGCATGAACGACAACAAACAACCGTACACCTTCTTCGCGTGTTTCTCCATGTATCTTGCACTGGGCAAACTGTGGCAACTCGCAAATATTATTATAACTTCACCAAAATACAGTTAACACAACGCACACAAGCAATCTTCCTCCTTTGCTCCTACCTGCGCTCGCTCAATTCACCGATCGTACCCCATGTCGCGTTGATACAAGGCTCTGTCCCGTGCTGTTGGGCGATCAGCCAGCCAGTTACCGCTACTTGTCCGCCTCGCAAACTTCTTCTTTTTGTGAACGTCGTTCGTCTCAAAGATGGCCTCTAGATTGCACGTGTCGACAAAGTCCTGAAATATAGCAGGTGATGGGTCAATGGCGTTCTTGCCAAACTGCGCGTGTAAAACCTTGTTAAGGTGGTCCTTTTGGGCCCATCTCGGCACTTTCTTCTTTCCGTGACGATCCGCATCCGAGTCGCCACTGTCACCGTCTGAGGACTCAGCATTGTCCGACATCTCATAATTCACAACCTCGGGCGAATGACTTTTCGGGGCATGTTTCGCAGGAACAGGAGATGCCATCGGAAGTCTTGAAGCAGGCTTTGGCATGGGTTTTGATGCTGACTTTGATGCTGGAAGTGCATTGGAAACAGACTTTGGTATCTGCTTAGAGACGAGTTTCTGTAGCGGCTTCGATATGGGCTTTGCAGTAGGCTGGGGAACCGCAGGTGTAGGTGTGAGGCCGCGATGCTTATGGTGCGATGCCATTGTAGCAGAAGTTGTGGATTTGCCCAACAAAGTCGCACTAGATGAGTAAACAGCTTTCTTTTCAGCTGCGAGCATCGCTCGCTTCTTCTCAAGCCCCGCACGCATCTCCTTTAGCTTTTGTTGACGTTGCCTTGCTAACTCGGCCTCACGCTTCTTCCGCACGTTTAACCGCTCTTGCTCACGCTTCGCCTGAGCATCCTTCTCAGCCTTCTCTTTTAGCGCCGCCACTTTCCTATGCTCTTCCATTTTCCTTTTCAGTATCGCCTTACGCCCCTCCTTCTCCAGCCTTTTCTTTTCTTCGAGTACACGAGACTTCTCAGCAAGCTTCAGCGCATTTATCACGGGGGCACTGCGGCCTCTGTTTCCTTCTTGAGTATTTTTCTTCTCCAGCAACGTTGTGAAAGAGTGTACTCCGCTAACTAGATTCGTGATAGGTCGTCGATTGGCATTAGTCACCGTCAATGCCGCGGATTTCAGCGCATTTTCCACAATTGATTGCTCGGGTATCGACGAGACCGTCGAGGATAGTGAGTCCGACCTATCGCGGTTTGACATAGGTTTTGCCGAATGTATATTCGGCGGCTCGGACTCGGCCCCATCTATGCTTGATGTCGTTGACGACACGAAGGAAGGCCGTTGCAATTGCTGCGATTCAATATCCAGACGAGCAGCGTGGGTCTCGGATAATTCTTGTGGCATTCTCTCGGTAGCTGGCAACGACTTTGCTGCAGGCATACCTATCAGCTGATGAGACATCGAGCGTTCAACTTGATGCTTTATATCAACCATGGCATGCGTAGCATGGGGAGCTGTAAGGTCATGCAGTGAGCCTGATACCATGTTCGGAGTGCTTTTGGTTTCTTGTTCGCGGGACATTGATCGTATAAATTCTTGCTCCTTTGCTTCTTCAGCAGCTAATCGAGTCGTGTGAAGGGTCCTAGTCTCATCTTTCAAAACTGAAGTAGTCGAGCGATTCGAGTCTGAAGATGTAGAAGTACTTTCACTGGCAGTCGACGACTCGGAGATGGGGGGTGAGACCTGATCAAAAGCAGATTTCTCGTTTAACGACAAAGGCGTACGAGCACTTTTCCTTTTGTCACCAGCAGACGAGGCCCGCAGCCTCGCCTTTAACTGATCACCTTTCGCCCAGAGTGCCTTGCTTGCATTAACTTCTTCTAGCCTCTTCTGCACAGACAGCTTTGCAGCAAGTCGAAACTTTTCAGCTTCGCGCTGAACTGTCTCGTCAAACTCTCGCTTCTTGCGTTGCTCCTCTGTCTCTTTTACGGACATTGCCGGAATAGAATCTTGTGGTATTATTGAAGCCGAAGCAGGAGCGACATTCGTGCTCACAATTTTTAGCTTCGCATTATCTTCCAGAGCAATGTCCAATCCAGTAAACTTGCTCTCAAGTTTAGTCTCATCACGTAAAGTATGTGATTCAATTGGCGAAGGAGCTTTTTCTGGACTGGGTTCAGGTTGCGTGGAATCAGTCTGAGAGCTATCAACAATCGTGTACATCTTGTCCGTAGGAGCGAAGCTGACATTCCGAACGGGCCCATGCGTACAAGACGCCAGTGACGAAGCCTTCCGCAGAATAGATTTTCTCTTCCACGCAAATGGACTCGAGAGTTCACTCTGTCCGCCAACCTGCATCGATTTTCGTGTCACCCTCAGTACATCGTGAGCAATCAACTCTTTTGGACCGTCAGCTGCAGCGAGCTCAACACTGTCCCTAGTGTTGCCGACAGGCGATGCAATATTGGAGTCGGAAAGAAGCTGTCGCTGTCGCTGTTCCACTGAGTCAGCCTCTGAAGCTATTTCTACTGAAGATGGCACTTTCACTGTCCGTAAAACACACTCTGTCTTCGACACGTCTTCTTCACTTGTCTGTAGAAAAGACGGGTGTTGTCCGTCTCCACTCACAGGAGTAGACACTCTCGTTTCTTTCTCCTTCTCGTCCTCCGCTGCAACTTCCTGTGACAACTGACTTGTCACGACACTCCGTGACGACTCCATGCTCTCTCGGACAATTTCATCTCCCTCACAATCGTCATCAATCACAATCACCTCTCTCTCTCGTGTCTCCTCTACTATCTCGTCTTTCTTCTCCATCTCTTCCTTCTCCTCCTTCTCTAGTGCCTCCAACAATCGATCACAAAGTACGACCTTCCGTCCACTAGTTTTCAGTCCTCTTTTCTTCAATTCAAGCCGTAAATCAACCACTTTAAGCTTGCTCACGTCCTGTAACAGCATCAAAGAAGGCTGTTCTCTCTTCCTCGTCGCACTTTTTGTATCAATGTCCATGGTCGTCTCCATACTCACGGCCCTTGGTCGTAACTGCATGGAACGTCTCGATCTCTCTCTCTCTTCCTTGTCCATAGCCGGAACATCCCTCATATCTTCTACTTGTTTCTCAATCTTGTGCTTCTTCCGAGCTGGTCCAGACACGTCAAAAATGACATTTTCGGCTCTACAAACCGTCAAAAACACCCCAAAAACAACGCATACATTAGTATACACGTCTCTTGTATCCATTTAAGCTCATTTAATGGTTTAAAAGACCTTATTTACCTGCAAAATGACGTCATAGGGACCGGTTTGTACTCAAAGTTTGACTTGATCTCCAGCGAACGCGCGATCTCCGTTAGCTCATTTCGAAGCCACGATATATTGTACACATGTTTCTCTTCCAATGCTGACCAGTTTTCACGTGCGAGACTCTGTAGATGGCTCTGTACACGCAGTACAGCATCACCCATGCTTCAGCCTTTCCTCGGGATTAGAATTTTTGACTTATTGACAACTAAAGGTCGTGTATGTTGCTACAAAGTTGCGTGACGGACGAGTCGAAAAGTATCAACTTTTGTCATACGTGTCAAAAATCAACTTTTTGTCAAATCAAAAAAATTGTTAACCATATAAAATTCGCATTAAAAAATATACCCTCGTGCCTGCTACTGTCTATTTTACTATTACAGTAGTAATGTCAATACTAATGCTCGCTCTTTCAGTACTTTTCTTTCGTCCATAAGTGCTACGGAACAGACGTCTATAACGTTGGCATTGCCACTGTGTTGTGCTTGTTAACACGTTTGAATTCCCATTTTTGTGACGCTATAGAATGAGACACAGGCTCTTCTTTGGCTTGGACACTTTTTTCCGACGTACTTCACGCACAAACGTCTCGAATACCGCCATCACATTTTCTCCTGTCAATGCACTCGTTTCTATGTAATGGGCATTGTACGAGTGGGCTATCCGTCGACCTTCTTCCGTACTCACTTTACATTTCGAAGAATCACAATCAACCACGTCCTTCTTGTTAGCTACGAGGATAATAGGTGGCAATGGACGAGAGCACTCGTTGATGTGAAGATGTAAAGCAAAGAACGGTTGTAATTCCTGCAAAAAAACACCAAAAAGTATTAGCTCATGCTGTCATGATAAGATAAGGGACGATGATGCTGACTGACTACATACATGAAGAGAGATCCGCGAGTCCATACTATATACAAAAATATACCCATCCTTGTCCATCATCCACTGTCCTCTTAACGACTCAAAGTCCTGAAATCATATACAAACAACATAAAGCCAAGAATAATTAAGTCAAAAGACACTCTCGTCAGACAATCGTCTACTAGAGACGTACATCCTGTCCTGCAGTATCCAGAATCTCGAGCATACATAGTCTTTCATCGACTGTAATTGCTTTCCTATAAGCATCTTCAATTGTCGGATCCCAATCTTTCGCAAAATAATCTCTCACGAAACGTAACGTAAGTGCACTTTTGCCCACACCTCCCGATCCTAACACCGACATATGAAAAGTCTCGTGTTGACATGTAGGCCCTACCATGTATACAAACCACATGTATCAATCAGTCTTCGTTGCTTATACCTATGACCACATGCTAGCAGTGCTAGAAACGTACCTAGTGCCTTGTAAAAGGGTTCACCCTGTGACACGTACAGTGTGTCATTATTCTGCAGCTCATTGACGTCGGAGATCTCCGCACCACTGGCAAGAAATAACCTCTTGGCACGTAGACCTGATTTTTTGCTTGCTCCTTTTTTTAATCGTGCAATATTATCCTTTGTCTTGACATTCATCACCTAAATAAAGTACCATTAGACAATGAAAAAAGTCAGTATTTTGTGCTCTAGTTAGACTCAAATAGAAGCCCTTAGTACCTTGCCCTCGGAGCCTGCTTCATTGCGATAGATAAATAGTCGCATTTCCGTCATAGTGATCAGTCAACAACGAACCCAATAGTTGTGCCCAGCTCCGTGTCGGGCCTATACGAGCCCCGGGGTCTTGCCTTATTTTGACTGCACAACGTTACAACAAAATGCGCCCGTTCCTATGCAAAGTCTATAATTGTAAGTCGATAGTTCTTTATTTAGCTTTTCTATGGGATGCAACAGCTGGGAAGAGAAAAGAAAAGTCTCTTATTACAACAATGACCGCATAGTCGGTACCAGGTCTTTTGACACATGTTGGGCATATATGTGACCAGCTGCTACAAAAGTAACTGAAGTGGTTGTTAGACTGTCTGTTGTACAATGACCTAAGAAGGTGCCATACGGTCGGTCGCTCACAGAGCATAGCATTCCCCCCTCCCTCCCTCCTTTACGGAGGAAAAAAACTCACACACGGGCTGGTTTTGCACCGCTGTTCCCAAAGAAAAGACACTGCAATGGTATCTCCAATCATGATGCCAGGTTTCTGACGTGTAGTCAAGCTAGAGACCGTCGCAAGGCAGAGAGAGTCTTGACTATCCTTTTTAGTATATACTACTACTACTACTACTACTTGATCGTACAAAAGAAAGTGAGTACTGTCGTGCAAAAAAGACGTTACCATGTAGGAATGAAATAGTAAACAATATCGAGTTTTTCTAACCTGATAAAAAGTACTAAATACACGCCACAGAAAATCCGTCTCATCCATTGAAATATCTCTATTTTCTATCCCAGAATTTCTTATTCCTCCAAAAACCACATCAAAAAAACCAACCGCAGCCGGTGATTAAAAACGTTCTCACGGTTTTATCTGGTAATACGATCAAACAAAACGCTGGCTTTTTGTCCTTGAATGCTGTGGTGCAATCTTTCCAGTACGCGACGCCTCACTCCATAGTATACTTACTACTTACACGAATACGTCCATTCGGTGACAAGATGAACGTGCCATTCAAGGCTTCTTCTTCTTCCTCTTCTTCCTCCTCTCCTGCCAAGAAATCTCCTTCTATTAAACGACGTCTGTGGTCAATAGAAAAACAAGCTAACGTCGGTGCTCCGACTGTCTGGATCGTCCCTAATTGGTCCACGTATCCGGTGCTTGAAAATTTCTATGGCCATGCCAAATGTGCTCGTTCAAGTTCTTTCTATGAAGTCATGTGTTCACCACTGAATGCTACAGTCACAACAACATTGGGTGAAAGTTGTGCAAGTTACAATAAAGACACCGACGACGACGACGAGGAACATGAAGGACGACAGTTTTTGGCTACAGGCACAAGTCGACGACGTCGTCCATTTCGTGGTTCGTTTACTTATTCGTGTACGACCGACACAAGTGAAGAGACGGGGAGTTTTAGTCTGGAGACTGAAAGTCTCTTGTTGTACGACCGTCAAGCAACATTGACAACACGGCGTAATAGTAACCCCCATAACCTCATACCCAGTAACTCTGGTTATGCTCAATGGAATCAAATGAGACGGACCATGAGTCTTAATGGTGGGCTTGTACCGGTCCCTCGAGATTTTCATGTCACAAGTGACAGACTTTTGCTCCAAGGCAATGGAGACTTTTCTATCGATGCGATAAAGCCATTGGATGTTGACACCAATTTCGATCGTCCTTCGTCTCCTTTGACGTCAAGCCGATTACGAGCCAAATTACAAGAAAGTTTACAAGAGACGGACGATCGGATGACAGACGAATACAAGCGTCTAGATGAGGCACAACGGAGTACGAATCAGTCAAGAGCACAAGAACCTGCAGCTCCTGTTACTGTCATGTGGAGTTTAATATGTGGAGCACGAACAACTAAAGCAGTACGTGCTGACGGCTTGACATTTTTGACGGAAAAAATAGGGATTGCTGTATCACATCGTGCATTGAACCAATTGCATCGACATCGTCGCCATGTATGTGGTATCTTGCAAATTGTAACGGCACATAATCCAGATCTGGAGCTTACGGAACGACAGCTTGACTCGTTTGAAGCACCAGACGCTATGCTGGCCAATGACATTAAGTACGTTGTGCTTCATCAGCAGTATAAACTTCTGCTTACAAGTGTAACACAACGACGATGTGCGCTAGTCGAGGCAAAGCTACATAATGGTAGTGATTGCTTTGAAAAACCTCAAGTGAAGTGTGTCATGATGTCCAAGTTGCTTAGGGCTGTGAGCTGGTATCGATTGGTGCAACGGAACGCGAGGGAAAAGTCTGCATCGAGTTCTGTGGGTGTAGTTTCTACTCTGGGATCAGTCGTTGACACTCCTCCGTCCAGTTCAGGGTCGGATGATGGTCAACAGAAGCTGCAGGTGGAAAAGATCCTGGATGTTCTGGCAGACGAAGACTTTTATTCCGTTTTCAGCGAGTCCATGTGTCAGCCAAACTGGTGGGAGATTGCACAGGCTCACTTTGAAAACCTTATTTTTTCGTCGAAAAACTCGCGTATTTGTCAGTGGATGCTGCAACTTTCCAAAGACGCTGCTGCTGTGAGCTACGAAAAGCTGGAGACAGACAAGAGTGGCGGTTCTCGAAGAACGCTGGCAGGAGATAACGTACATTGTAATCATCACATTTTGCATCAAGCTTCTTGGACGAGGGATCCGCCACCTGAGCAGATACTTGATTTTCTGGATCGACTGGCTGGCCGTGTTCGGCGAGAGTTTGATGTGCCCGCAGAAGTTAGCAAGAGCCTGAATGTCTTTATTCAGCGCACGGTATTCTCTCGTATTGCTGTGCTCTGCTTCAACCAGAGAGCGACTCGTGATTGCCAGCGGAAGGACAAGCTATGGCGGAAGAAATGCGTTGAGCTAAGTGGCTTGCCCATGGAGAATTTTGGAGTATCGCCGGACCTAGTTGCCAAGATTCACTCCAGCTTGCCCAGTCACCGCGTCCATGGACCGAGTGGTAGTAATAGTCCGTGTCAGCGGCGAGTTTTTCTCGTTCGTGCGATCGAAGCTTTTAACGGCATGGCGAGTGTAGTGCCCTGCGATCTGCTGGATGAGCTCATGCACGGCGTAGTGATTCTACACCACGAAGCTGCGCTTGTGCTGGGCACGACTCACTTTTCGGTGGAAACTTTCTTCCCGTTGTTGGCGTACGTGCTGGTGCACTGCCGACTGCCGACAATCCACGCGCAGCTGCATCTTTTGGAGAAATTTGCCATCACTGCCCACAATGCGAACGGCGAGGAGTCGTACTACGTCTACTGCGTTCATGCTGCCGTTGAGTACATTTGCAACACGGCTGGGTTGGGAATAGGTGTTAATTCTGCTGGCACATGCGCAACGAGTACAAATTCCAGTGCAGTCTCGACACCAGATGGGGCGAGTGTGACACCCGCCATGCCGATGAACACTTTGTCGCCACCCACTACTTTTTCGTTGGACCTTAAGTTGAAAAATCGATTGGAAGTGGAAGGTGGAAGCATTAGCAAGAGCAGAGTGAAGCAATCAGAGGCAGCCTGAAAGACCTTTGCCAAGAAGGAGTGTGACGCCCCCCTGTCGTTTTATTTATGTAAGCGAAGCACAAGAAGGCACACTTGAAGTCGGTACGATAGCTTTCCATCCATTCTCGTTGAATCTAAATAACTATATCGTGAACGCCTATATCTCGACTGTTGTCACCTGTTGCACGTTTACTGTATCTCTGATCTAGTGTGGCTTGGGTACGTGGCCATCAACGTAAAAGTTGCGTGTGGCCTTCGGCAGCGTCACCGTTGTCCCCTCAAAGCTCTCGTTTACAATCACCTGACAGCCTAATCTAGACGTATCTGTCAGTCCAAAGGCCATATCCAGCATATCTTCCTCATCTTCGCATGCTTCTTCCAGCTTTTCAAACACAGAGTCTTCCAGGATCACGTGACATGTCGAACAAGCCATGGACGACTCACATGCCCCTTCCAGATCAACGTCATTGGCATGAGCTACTTCTAATAGAGACATGCCTGTCTTGGCTTCCACTTCTTTTATCGAGTCGTCACGCTGTTTAAACTTAAGATGGACACTGTCATGAAGGACAAGACCCCAAAATTAGTGTATCATTTTGTATATTTTATTCAATTGTGAAGCTCACAGACGTCGGATTGGCTTCAAACTTGGACATGTCACCATGGAGTATAGAAGTAGATGCGTGGAAATAACGTGATGCATGTGTAGACACTACACGCGCTGATACAAGACGATGGCTAAGCACACGGAGCATTATCGACCAGTCAGATCAAATACGAGATGTTCAAATAGCTGGTTGATAATTAAGGTACACCACTTTTAACGGCGATATCTATAAACGTATTTAAGCACGATGATAGGATAAAATGATGAGTCATAGTGTAGCCAACAAGGTCGATCAATGTAGCCAACAAGGTCGATCAATGTAGCCATCTTGGACATGCAGCTTTAACTTGCATGTACAAGATGGCTACATTGATCGACAAAGTGGACATGAACTGGCAATACGTCGCGTTGAGTGGTCACCGCGTTTAGAGACCGACAAAGTTGCCTGCTCCAAGCGCGACGTAAATTCTACCCGTCGAAAACTGCCATGCTCAATCGTCGTCACTTGTAAGCGTATAATCATTTGCAAGCTTTGATCCATTCCACAACAATTATCGCCATTGTTCACCGCGGCTCAGAGCACCCATGAGTCAAAGTAAAGCTGTTTCACTTGCAAAATCTCGAGAAAAAAGGTGGAGAAGGTCAGTGGAAATGATGTTTCGACAATCTCGACACGTCAAGCAGTCACGTATTGTGGTTGAGACCCAACGCGAAGTCAATTCTTAAGCGACGCAGCACCAACACAGCACCTTTGTCATTGTTGGGTTGCTTCAACTAGACAATTGAAGATGCAGATTCACATGCACTATCAAAATTGAGGTGCTCTCCACACCATTGATACTTACTTGCTACTTTCATCGACTCCTGGGTTTCTACTCTCGCCTACGACTACATTGTGCACTAAAGAGACTAAACACAATGCTGGAACAATGCAATCGAAAGGGCGTCGTGTCCACGCATTGTTCATCTTCACCTTTATGCCATGGTGCTATAGCTTGCAGTCGTGCTTCCGTTACTCTTTCGTGCAAGAAAACATTCTATTATGCTCTCGTGGATATTGACATGCTCACGTGAACATGCATTTGTCAGTGTATATACGCATATCCACGGCATCTCGAGATGTTGCGTCATAATGTCTGTTTACAGCCTGTAAGCTCATCAGATTCGTTCCAGTGTCGATCTTATGCGAGTTTCTGCTAACGTTTAATAAGACTTCGGGTGCTGCTGACTTTGCAGCAATGAGACAATGAATCAACACAATGGATAGAAGATTCCGTTGTTGGCACGCGACACTATCTCTCAGAAGCTTCACAGCCGAAGATTTATTAGATGATGACAACAAGAAGGTATATATCGTATCACCAGCACTAGAGAAGACAACCTCAAACAATCCTCAAAGACCACCAAATGCCCGCTAATCGCGGCAAGGATGTTAAACAAACGGTACTAGGCCATCGATTAGCAACTGCTGTCACAAACTTGCTGACATTGCCACGTCGTTTGCAGCTGACCGAAGAACGAAGCTTTTTGTCAATCTCCCAAGTTGGTAAGGATGATCTCGCCTTTGTTAATTGCATTGTCAGAATTACATTCGCCACTGCCGGCACCTTCACGCTGGCACCACCACGCTTAGCCCAGCAAAGGGTGTCCGTAGTGGAATGAAGGGTTACAGTTTAAACCAAATTGTCACCAACTTTTAAAGAAAACACGTTTGATATCGTGGAGATAAGGGAGACCCTAAGAACGAAGGTGACCATGTTTAGCGCCACCACCATGACGTTTGACGAGAGTGCTATTCCACATGCAAAGCAAAGACAATTACAAAGTCTGTCACTTCCCAATTCGCGCCTTCGAGCAACAACGGCCAAGAGACGAAGACCTTCAAAGAGCCGGTCAACCGGCCCCCTCCGACCAGGGCGGGAAGTCCCTCCAACGGGAGGCCCAGGATAAGAGGGGGAGGTTTTCCCTCTGCTGCGTGCGCTATGGGGGCAAGCGCAGCGTGCGAACCGTAAGGGGAGCACCAACCCTGTTACCCCCGGGGGGAGAGGATCGATGACCGCGGTTATCATTCCCTCTTTCCCCAATAGTTCCTGCTATTCTACGTCAGCTTTCAAGACGCCGATTCGATCGCTGAGCGCGAATCTCGGTCCCACGAAGCGAACTTGCCAAGAACGTGAATTGACCGGCCCCGTCCAGGTGCATCAGCGGTCGATCGGGACTGATCGGTGTGGTGCCCGGCGCTTGTTGCGATCATTGAGCCACTGTTTACACCTCGGGCTGGATACCCGATTCCACGTGCCCTTTTCGAAGTGTCCCCCGTGACGCCCGACGTCTCGAACCAGCAGATTGAGCCAGCGAGGCGAAGAATGACGAAGTCCTGGTAGAAGCACTCCAGACATCTTACCAATCCTTAATGTTTGAAATAGACGGTCTGTTCTTCTCTCAATTACAAAGTCTGTCGAAGAGGTGAACCTGTTCTACCGCTTGGAAAATGCTGCAATTCCACGACTATCCGTCACGGTCATCTTGATCTCGAAACCTTATGTGACGCTGTACCAGACGAAATAGTTGTTGTTCTTCCTGCAGAAGGCAAATGCTTTTCTGCTCAACTTCTGTAGCATGTTACACGCGTTTTGACAATTTGGCCGAGCAAGAGGTGCTTCATTTGATATCATTGATTGCTGCCTGATCGCGATCTCCACCAATGCAACAATGCACTGGCGATCGCCAGTTCGACCTTATAGTCGTGATCACGTTGTCTATAAGGTCTAAGTAGTCTCGCTAACAAAAATGAATACAACTAGGATTGTCGCTACATTGAAAGTGATATGTGCACAATGCTCACAGTCCGTTAAAAGGCAAGAGCGAGTTCTTTTGCATATAGGCTGGAGACCTAATAACTACAATAATAATGTACTGACACATTTGTGCTGGACGTGATCAATCACTCAAAATATCATTTTACTATCAAATTATCACAACAATTCTTTGCAAAAAGACATGGATGCAACAAGTTGAACACAATGATTTTCAAAAGGGTTTATTGCAATATCAGAGATCGTGCGACATTGTAAAAATTACTCTCTATATAGTGACAACACGTCTACTTTTCAATCAACAACGTAAAACACGCTTCATTTAAATCTAATATACTCCTATTTACCTCTAAAACGTCAGCAAACCCACCCTCTGTCTATCGTAAAATTGTCAATTCGCACGTCATCGTCCCATCCTCCACGTCCAGTATACATCCAAGTATACATCCAAGTATACATCCCCACTTCATACAGTCCATAATTGAATCACTATCCTCAAGTACTCGACCCTCTCCTTACCTTGTTTATCATGAGTTCCGACGCGGACGGCAGCATAAATTCAAGTCCTTCGTCACTCTCTCCTCTCGCTGAAGCACGAAGAGGCAATTAAAGCACCCAAGACGCCGCTTCAGAGCGTCCACGAAGAAGCAGAACATTTGTATCCAGCCAGTATTGAATGGTCTCGTGCTTGCGAGTCCGTAGGCGTTACTGGATCCTTTAATAAGTAAACCCCTTTTGTAGCTACTTGACCGTTTACCTCTCTTACTATCTAACGTACTTTTTCGTGTAGTTGGGGCTCGCAGATCTTACTTAAGAGACAGAAAACATCAGATGGAACTCCAGTCTATTGTGCAAAGCTCTGGTTGCCTATAGGGACGCACTTGTTCAAGTTTTGTGTGGATGGTGCATGGCAATACGACCCTGAAGTGACTTTTGCCCCTGATGGGTATGGAAACCTCAACAACTTTATCAAGATTGGACCCATCATGGATCCACAGACTCAAGAAAAAGCTTTGCAACGAGCTAGTCGTACCATTATTCGAGATGCTGAGGACGGGATTCCCGTTATGAACCCACAAGCCAGTGAAGAACTCATGGAACTTCGGATGCAAACGTCCCCCGTGCAACGACCATTACGTTCTCCAACCAATCAGCAGGTCAAGCAACCGGATCCGATCCCGAGAGCGACACCACTGATAACTCCTCGGAAACCTCAGGAAACGGAAGACTCAGAGTACGGTATTGAAGTGAGTGCACGTCGCGTGAGCAACCACAGTTTATTGGGCAGTATGCCACGATCTAGAGCTGGTACATTGACCAGGTCCAAGAGTGAAGAATTGCTGAGTAACGCAGCGTCGGCTACTGCCGATGTTCCGCCAAAGTACGTGAATTACATGGACGACGTCATCACCAACTCGGTACTTCTGGCAGCGACGACGCAACACTTTGGTGGAGATTTGGTCACGCATGAACACAACACTCGTGCAAAACTGGGAGGACATCGCTCGGTGCTGGTGAGTGGTCCGCATACAGCAAAGCAGACGGCCCCGCAGCAGCACAGCGGCGGCAAACTGATCATTTTTCTTGTAGGTCTGCCTGGTCGTGGCAAGACGTACATTGGACACATTCTGGCACGTCATTTGACGTGGATGGGGCACCACTCCCGCACGTTTAACACTGGAGAGTACCGTCGAAGACTTGTTGGATCGAACGTAAACCACGCGTTCTGGGATCCGTACAACGAAGAATCGTTTCAGATTCGCACCGATCTGGCAAAGAAATGCCTAGACGATTCAATTGAAGCGCTGGAGAGTAACGATTGCGACTGCGTCATTTTTGATGCTACCAACGTAACGCGCCAACGTCGTCAGATGTTGTTGAATGAAGTGCACCAGCGCTGTCAGTGCGAGATGATGTTTATCGAGTCCGTATGCGATGACCCGGATCTCATCGCTTCCTCGATTAACGAGATGAAGTTGAACTCAGCTGATTACGCGGGCAAGACGATGGAAGAGGCTGCTGAAGACTACAACAACCGCATTAACCACTATCAGTCGCTGTACGAACCGCTTACCGCACATCTCGAAGGTGCACCGTTTATCAAGATTATCGATGTAGGCCGCCAAATTTTTTGCAACCAGGTGTACGGCTATTTGCAGTCGCGTATCATGTTCCTAATGGCCAACTTAAACTTGAAGCCACGACCGATCTGGCTGAGTCGTCACGGCGAGAGTATGTACAACACGCAGAAGCGCATTGGTGGCGATTCGCCTCTGAGTCCGCTAGGCGTACAGTATGCCGAACAACTAGACCGGTTTGTTGACGCGTATTATCCAACCCCTGACACAGAACTCGCAGTTTGGACGTCGACGATGCTACGTACGGGAATGACTGTAGAACGAATCGCAGCCCGTGGCCGATCGATTGTGAAGTGGAAGCAGCTAGATGAGATCGATGCCGGTATCTGCGATGGCATGACGTACGAGCAAGTGGCTGAGGAGATGCCGGAGGAATATCTCGCGCGCAAGAACAACAAACTACACTACCGTTACCCGCGTGGCGAGTCATACCAGGACGTGATCCACCGTCTCGAGCCGGTGATCACGGAGCTGATGCGAATGGACAAGCCTGTGCTGATCGTGGCGCACCAGGCCATACTACGTGTGTTGTACGCTTACCTTACAAACAAGTCCCCGCACGAGTGCCCCACGCTCAACATCCCATTGCACGTGGTCATTCAGGTTACCCCCAAGGCTTACAGATGCGAGGAGGTGTGGCATCGTCCTATGTAGAAGAACCCATTCCCGGTCCCTCCTAAACAGTTAAAAACATTCTAGCTGTCGTTACAATCAATCTCTTGTCTAACGCCTGACTGGCTTGGGGTACCATACTACGTCGAGCTTGTCACTCTCTTGCGTCTACAGGAAGCCCTAGATAATACACCTCTAATCGATTGTTGTTGGAGCCCATCGTTTCTTCATCAAGTGTACACTTGAGTTTGGTCTTCTTCTTTACAAACTCCAAAAACTTGTCGATACCGTCCTGGTTACGGCGTTCGACGCCCATGAGTACGATGCATTTGGGATTTACCACACACAACAGCTCCATCGTCTGCGCCAGTGCTTGCCAAGACGTGCCGTACAGCGGCTCGTAGATGCAGTCGCACGACAGCACGACATCCACCTTTTCATCCGGGTATTGAGCCATATACTCCTTTGTCTGTTGGACACCCCAGCTCAGCGCTCTTGCCACAATCTGCCCCTTGTCCTCAACATGCTCGTCAAGCTCTGTACCGTCGGCAACTCGCAACACTTCTCGATTGGCCGCTAGATTCACGTGCATGAGTCGTAAAAGCTCGTCTTGCTCCGTGAGCACAACATGCTTCGCCCCTGCCATTCTTGCTGCCATCCCTGGTACGCCACTGCATCCATCATCAACCCAAACACATTAGTTTCTTACAGTAAAAGGTGGCATTTCACTTCCAACTCACATGCCAGCACCAAGTTCAATGACACGTAGAGAATTGGTCGGGTCTTGAAGTTGGTGACGATAGTCGGTCAAAAACCGACGTGCTAAATGCACTGCTGCGTCCCACAACAACGTACCGGCCCATGCCGCGCCAGAAAACAATGGGGCGAGCTCATCCTCTTGCTACATGGCAAAAGTACACGAGTCAGACACACGTACTGAAGAATATTTCGAGACTTTTTCAGCATGAGACGGTTGACAATGTAGAGATAAAATTGACACTACGTACCATTAATAAGCTCAAGTTAAGATCTTTTCCATCCACTTGCACACGAATTGATGCCTCTACCTTGTCCACGTTCTCTTCAGGAAACACTTGTATAAGAGTCGAGATATCTCCCATCCTTTTTGTCCACGTATTCTCCAAACCGTTTCGAGTACCTTGATTTGTCAAATCAACGGACTATACAAATATCAAGTCAAAACGCCATGAAAACAGTCAATCAAGTCATGGTTTGAGGCACAAATTAACAAACCTCGTTCCTTGGAAATCCATCCTTTGGAATTCCGAAAATGACCCATTGGTGGCGACGTGACGAAGTGTTTGCACTCCTGCAGGCATGGGAGCAAACGATTCCTGCCCCTCGTGACCGTGATGAACTCATTGGTCACGACTTGCATCGATTGTATGCACGCTTTGACGCGTTGCGACCACGCGATGGAGCACCCATTGGTCTCGTCGAAGTGGAAGCACAGCGACAACGGTTGGTTCGAACTTTCTTGTTTTTACGTGCATTTAATACTGAAAGCATACGTGCTGGACGACCGACATGGTTTCAATTACCACCACAACAACAGGACGATCTACGTCGTTTAAACGGACGATTGGGGGACTTGGCGGTTGTCGCACAGGATGAATTCGACTTTCTTTTCCGAATTTGCCAAGAATTGCCACGTACTTCGAGACAACCATATCAAGTGTCAGAACGGCCGATGGCCGATGAAATGAAGGCAGCAGCTGAAGCACTTGCGGGGTTACCGAAATTTCGCCCCAATAATCAAGTGCGACCGACGTTGTCACCGTCCTTGTCACCTCCGTCGTCACCCGCAGCAAAGCCGTCGGATTCGGAAGAACAAGCAGTATCGGAACATGTTGTTTCGACCAAGAAAAGTCACAAGGAGGAAGAGTCGGACACGGACTACACGCCTCCAAAAGCCAAGAGTAGAGCCAAGAGCAAAACGACCTCTAGGTGGTCGAAACGAGACGAACAACAACTCATCTCGGCTTGGCATGAGGTGGTCACATCACTTGCAGACAATGGATATGCTGGGTCATACGCCTCTCGCAACGAAGGGCTTCGACTGAATTCTCTTATCCACCAGCGGTATGTCGAAATATGCGGCGGCAGTAACAAGGCCCGGACGAACCAGTCGACCGGGGCAAAGAAACACGCCATCATGATGGCTTTCCGATCGTTGCGCAATGTACTTCGCACATTGGCGTCATTGAGTGAACGACCGAACTGGTTTAGTATGACACCGGACGAACGGATGGATCTGCAGAAAATGCATGGACACCACCATGAACATGCCTGTTTGATTGAGAAAGAAACGTACCAACGACTTGGCGAGATTGATCGGGCACAACGAACAGTGTTAACGCCAGTTGCAAATGCGCTTCGTGCCCCGATAACGCTTGATCAACTATTGCGACGTTCGCAAAAAAAGACGGGCAAGGACACTGCAAACGGAAAGTATAAGGGTGGTCCACCACGAGGTTACGTTGTTGCAGAACGATCTTCCGAAGATGAGGACTCGTCTGATACTGACGCATCAATTCGAGATGTCAAAAGTGAATGCTCGAGTCAGGCGTTAACGAGCAAAGCAAGACGTTCTAGTCCAGTTGTTTCTCGAAGACTAAGTCGCGACGTCGACTCTATTGGAACGACCTCTCCTCCTAAACGTCGTCGCACGGGGCTGAGTGATGCCAAGTGGGTAACACGATTGTTGGAAGCTCAGACGCAGCGATTCGAGTCACTTCTGGCCGAGTTCCAGGAGGAACGGCGACAGGAGCGTCAGCACAACTTGGAGATCATCCTCGAGGCACTCAAGTTGCGAAGTGCGTCCGCCCAGAAATCGGGCCTGCCGTCGCAGTTCGCGGAGACATTGGTCGAGAAGCAACGCCAGCACATGTTGGGACTGTTTAACCAGCTACAGGATGAGCGTTCTCAAGAACGCGATCAGGCTCGGATGCTGCTGCGAGAACTGGGAACTTCTCGTCTTGTAAGTCAAAACCAGGAGCACACGAAGTGAGAAGTTACAGCATGGAACTCGCCTCTTTCTATTGTAGTCAGTCGTAAGTAGTTGCTTTAAATTTCAACGTTGCATTGAAAAAACCTTAACGATACGCATGTGGGTGGTCATGGAGAAGTTGAAATCGAATCACGAAGGTAGGATATCTCACTTTTGATCCTTCAAACCGTAAAAAAACTACATGTTTTGGCTTGACTACGTGGTTTTCTCTATACATTTCGACAAATCCGATCCCCTGGCCATTGAAAAATTCAGACCAGAAGACAAAGTCTCGATTTGGTCTATCAGTTGTCTACATCTCAACGTCCCGTTACTTTTAGACAGTGCTTAAGCCTCGTTAACCCCTTAATCAATCTGTTTCCAGTGTGTACCATGTCACCTACAAACAATGCCGTCCGAGCGAACTCTGCGTGGGCCAACGACGAGTTGTTGCAACTGGTTCAAGCGTGGGAGGAGGTGGTGGACGATCCAAAGAACCGTTTACTGCTTTCTACCGGGGAACGCTCTACGTTACATGCGCGGTTCTGTGCCATTACCGGCTTGAATAAACGCAGTCTATCGTCGGTCACCCGTCAACACCATCGGCTATGTATGTCGTACCGCCTGATCGTGGAAACCAATAAACGGAGTCTCAAAAAGGGGTCACCCGGGTGGTTTGATCTATCAGCCGCTGAACAGCACGAACTACGTCGGGTTCATAATAAGAAGGAAAAGGGCATGACAGTTGTTAACCTCGACCTCTTTCGAAGACTCGACCGCATCTGTGGTGGCAAAGCTATCGAAACCAAGAAATCCAAGTCCAATAAGACTGGTCGGAAGGAATCCGAAGTACCGAAACGTAGTCATAAGAAGAAAATTGTCGACTTTGAAGAGGAATCACTCAGGAACACGTGGACAGCACGGGACTGGTCATTGTTTGTGGAAGCGTGGCAACAAGCGGTGGATGAGTTCCTCGACTATGGTAATGAACCGGATGAGAAGGTCAAACTGCCTAATTGGTTGATCCGACAAAAGTTTGTCGCACTCGGGGGACAGCGAGACACGTCGGTAGGCTCAATCACAGCAAAGAGACGGTGTATTATTCATTCGTATCACTTTATCCAACAATGTGTTGCCGGGTTGGAAGCACTCGACGGATCGGACTGGTTCGAACTCACGTTCAACGAACGCTTCCGACTGCAAAGGAAGCTCGTAAGTCCCAAGTCGAGTCAGAGGGTGGGATGCGAGATCGACCGCGACACGTTTCTTAAAGTAGGCACCATCATCCGCAAGGAGAAGAAGCTCGGAATGGTGATGGTCACCGGTCATAAACGGAAACGGAGTCACAAGAAGATGCGCAAGCCGTCAGTGTCGTCCGACGCATCTTCAGATGTTTCGATATCCCGGTCGCCCAGTCCTTCCCCATCACATGACGATGATGAAGTGTCGGAACTAGATTCGGAGACGCGGTATCCGCGTCATCCTGCAGTCTACGAGGATGAGGAAGTGCAAGTTGATGAAGACGTTGTCGAAGCGCTGCTGGAGGCACAAAATGCTCACTTCGAGCAGCTGATGCATGACCTACGGGAAGAACGGATGGAGGAACGCAAACAAAATCAAGCTATGCTGTTGGAAATCTTGCACCAGCGAACCCCAGCAGAAGACCGCAACCAGAACATGTCTGACATGGAGTCGCTGGTTGGGAAACAGCAGCAGCAGCTCATGGATTTATTTGCACAGATGCACACGGAGCGACGACAGGAGAGAGAAGATTTTCACGTATTGGTGCGTCAGCTCTGTTCCCAGCCACGATCATAGGGATCCGTAGTTCTGCATTGCGTAAGGTTATATAGCACAGCGCGCTACTCTTGGGACGGTACGTGAGGTCAAACCACGTTAGTGCATTTGCCCCAACACATTCTCCATGTCGAAGCATATCAAGGAGCCGTCGTTTCTTGGATAACGACGGAAATATACTCATCAAAGCTCAAGATCGAATCCAAGTTCGAGTGTGTGTTCTGGCATTGTCAAAAGCTGCAGTTGGATAACCTTTGGGACGTCTCATACAGGCAATGGTGCCGAGAACTTCAGAATATAAAGAGACAAACGCAGCACAAGGGGGCAGCACAAACCAAACATCGAGACTGCTCGGAAAGCAAAAGCTGCAAACGACACAAAAATGCGTCAAGCTGTCAGCAAGTTGCAAGTGGACATTCAATATGAAATCCAACGCCTATCATCTGCTACCAGATCAAAGACCCCATGACGTGAATTTATGGCCAAGGTGTTAAACCTGCAACAGCAAATGCGAGCTTGATTCGACCAGTTTGAGGAGGAAAGGACTTTGCCAACCGTGCACTTCTTGTTCAGCACGTCCACAGGGATTGAATGAATACAAAAAGTCGACAATGCATAGTGTGTTCTCTCTTTCTCGTCTCTAATATTTTTCGATCGTCATGGATTGCAGGGGAGGTATCTAGAGGTATCTTCGCTAGTGGAGATCTGAAGAAACGTTGAAACAAGGTGCAAAAGTTAAGTGCTCAATGTCCAGGTAGCGCCAACGCTTGCACTATTAGTCAAGCGTGCAGCAACGTTTGGGCAAAGATTGTCCATTAAAGGAGCAGGATGCAGTGCAAACATCAGACGAAAACTAGTCATTCTTCGACCAAAATTTGAGAGCTACCGCCTGATCTTCTCGCATCGACAATAGAAAGAGTTACGCGTTACCCAAGATTTCATTCTCCCAAGAAGTTGTGCAAGCAAGCAATTTAGCAGCAGGTGCGAGCTATTGCCCATCTTACCATTGCCACGAGCGTTATACGAGTCCAGTCAAAGGACAGACGCAACGTGTATCGCCAATGTTCTGGACAAAACCAGTGACGGCAAGTTTGTAGTCGATTTGCCACGTTCTAAAAGGACCACTGCCAAGGTGTTGAGTCTGTAGTCTGATACAACCGCAAGTTTAGAGAGTCTACAGATACAGTGATCAACGACGTACTTGCGGGTCTTCAATTGACTGAAGTGACTCAAGTGAACGATTGAAACTACTGCACAGAACCTTGGGGCTTGTTGTGTCGAATGACCCTGCGAGAAGTTGACTGTAGGTGTGCAGCTTATAATAAAGTAGACCAGCGAACATGTAGATATTAACAGCAGCTTGTGTCTGGGCACCCAACTAAGCAGCGTCCCACCACCCCCAGAGCAAATTTGAATGACTAAACACTTGACACAATGCGAGCAGATCCGATGCTGAAAAACGTTATCTTGCAATGTTGCTGTCCGGCTTATTGTGAGATTGCCACTGTACAAGGATGTTTGGGATACCAAAGATAAACGAGATCTTGTCACGAAAGACTGAAGATGCTATACATTCGTAAACCAAAGCGAAGATATGTAGCATTAACGCTACTGATCTCGTCGAGTGATGCTTACAGACAGTGCGCGCTTACCATTCAATTGAAATGTTGTTTTTCTAGTTCTGGTTCAGCAACTCGTCCGCTTAGAATACTAGCGCCGGTGTCAATGCAAACTTTTTCGTGGTAGATTTGGTCAAACGAATCGTATTCTTGATGGTGTCGGTCTTGAAAGTTGAATTAGTTCCGTACCGTACCAAAGATGGAACGATGAAAAAGTAAGATTAGTTGGCTTCAGCTTATGAGTGCCAACAACCTTTCAAGCAAGCTGTAGCTTCTTAATGTGTACAGAGCCAAATCACTTTGGCTGCGTGGCTTCGGTTGATCTTCTTGGCAGTGCCAACCCAAAACCATTCCATACACTTTCACAACGTCAAGTGGAACCTTCAATACGAAATCCGACAGAAGGCACCTAAAAAGAGCTTCAAAGATGAAAGGTTGATCTCACTGCATCAACACCTTGGTGTTCAATAACAAGACAGATAAGAATGTACTGCTCAAGAGTCATGAACACGGTGTCGGCAAGAAAAGGTCAGCAAAAATTAATGAATGACCCATTAGACAATGGATAGTAGACACATATATATATATATTGCTGGATGTCATCGTTGCATGTAGGAATATGGCAATACTTGCAGTTTCTCATGGAAAAATTCAACCTGAATGGCCTGATTGATGGATTGAGGATGGATGGATACAAGTACTGGCGTAGCGTCAAAAAGCGATGTAAGAGACTGAGGCTGTTCAGTGCATAAGGTAAGAGTAAGCAAGCTATATTGAGCGAGAGTCAAAACTACAGACTGTTTCCGAGTTAACGCGATCTGCGCTCACTCTAAACATGGTGTCGACTTCGTTTTTCACCGAGATAACATATCGATGTACGCGTTGACACGACACCGTGGTGATTAAACCCTAACCATTCCCCCGTTTAGGGGAGTCCCCAAAACGCGGCCCGCGGGCTTGTGCCCGAGACTGAAAAGTCGCCTCGATACCACGTTGCTCACTGCAGCAGAAGTGGAGACTACAAGAGTTAGCGACAATCGCCACATTTAGCCAGTAATGCAAAACGCTTTGAAATCGGGAGATTTTGAAAATAATGGCGCTAACAAGAAAGCAACGAACCGAGTCAGATCAGACGTGAACGAGGTGATATGACAATAGAAGCAATACCCACGCTGCTAGTCAAATTCGAGAATTCACATAGCAACCCCGAGCGCCTATGAAATCGCGTGCTAAACGTCAATCGCGAGTTCGTCGACCTTGAAAGTTTGAATGGACTAGTTGATGACTACTATTTATCAAATTTGGTCATTAGGATAGTGTAAGACAAGCTTGTTCTGCAGAGCTGATACTGCTTTGAAGTGATGCGTATAGGACACATCCAAATGGACTCTCACGGAGAATAGTGATGAGGGAGCAACGACGTAAACAAAGAAGTGATTCTCACACAAGATGAAGATGTAGTCGAACCTATACTAAACCTGAAATGACATGAGCCATCTACTACACGAAGACATGCGGCAAAAAGGAACTACGTCAGCCATCCTAGAATCAAAATCACTTGTTGTAAAGTTTGACCGCTCTGCGGGTATGCTTCGAGCGAAGGATCACACTAATACCACCTTGCCGTGCTAATCTCTTACCAATCAATGTAACATCATTAAATACCGCGACTGGATTGTGACGAGCGCGAGCGGGTAATTAGATTAAGGATTGAACGGAGAATGTATCCTGCTATCAGTTCTTTACTTGTTCAAAGGAAGTTGATGCTTAAACATCGCGGTCCAGTTCAAGCATCAGCCCCTCATCACGGGCACCCCCTTCGGCACTCCCTCGCGAAAGCCGAAGGGGGTGGGGCCATGTCTCGGACATGCATCTCGCGCGCCACCGGTCATGGAGACAACAGACTAGGGGATGGTACTATGACTGGCGGCGTCCACGTGCCACGCATGAATGCATCGGCAATCGCACAAGTCAGCTCGTCGGATCGCGCAGAAGCGGTAAGAAAGGGGCTACACCCCATGCCACGCCCCGGCGACCGCGCATTTCAGACAAACGGGCCGCTCGAGCGGCCTACAAGGGACATAAACAACGGTACACGTCGGTTGCGATGCTGAATCAGCATAGCCGGACAATCCCGAGAGCGTCATTGCAGGTGGCCAGCACCGTACAAAATCACCCGACTCGATCGAGCACCGGCGTTGCTAATCCGGCGTAGGAACTGTTGTAAAAGAAGCGACTCGGCATGCAAACGGCAACCACAAGAATGTACGGTCTGATTAGTTAGGTGTGCGCCTACCCCATGAGTAATACCACTAGCGTGGATTACTCATGAGCGACTATCTGATGAGTCATGTGTGTAGAGTAGATTACTCATGTGCGGCTATCCCATGAGTAATGCGCGATATAGCGATTAGAAACGTGTAGTCGAAGAATCCAGTAGGCTTAGAGTAGCAACAGAGTTTGTGAACTAAGGACCTAAATATATTCACTTTGCATTTTGCTTTCTACAACCCAAGTGCTTTAACAACAGGTTATGAGCCCAAGCTCTGCTGACTCTGCCCCCGACGCCGACTTCGCCTTCAACATGGACGCTGCCACCGCCACCAACGCTCGCATCAACAAGTTTGATGGTTCGAACTTCCACACTTGGAAGTTCAAAATGCAGATGGTGTTGGAGGAGCGGGACCTTTGGGAAGTGACAAGCGGGGAGATCAAGCTGGAACATCTTGCCACTACGCTGGATCAGTCAACGTTCAAGCGCAAGTCAAGGAAGGCGCTCGCGATAATCTGTCTTGCGATGGAGGACTCGCAGCTGCCCCTGGTCCGGCCGGCAAGTGGAGCGTACGATGCATGGTCGCGGCTGGAAGGCCACTTTGAGAAGAAGAGCTTAGCCAACAAACTCTTTCTTCGTCGCCGTTTCTTCACGGCCAAGATGGAGGAAGGCGATGATGTGCTTTCGCACATCAACAAGATAAAGACACTGGCGGAACAACTCGACGCGGTGGGTGCTCCGGTCAGCGAAGACGACCTGGTGATCACGCTTCTTGGAAGCTTAAGTGAGTCGTTTGCATTTCTCATTACTGCTTTGGAGTCAAGGGCTGACTCGCTGTCGTGGGAACTGGTGACATCCAGGCTGCTACATGAAGACATGAAGCGCAAGGAGCAAGGCAGTGACGGGGTCGCTGCAGGTCAAGCGTTCATGACAGGTGAGAAGAAGCGTAGTGGACGGCCATTCAAGAAGACTGGCGCGTGCAACTACTGCGGTAAGATGGGTCATTGGATCGCGGAGTGTACCTCACGGATCCATGACAACGCGGACCGGCAGCGTCCGCAGCGTGCGAATGTGGCGCACAACCAAGATGAAAAATTGGACGATTTCCTGTTTGCAGCTGGACTGGAGAG